CTGGTGGTGACCCTCGGTCCTCCTGAGTGCTGGGATTATAGACGTGTGGCACCACCCCTGGCTTGAAATTTATGTATACCTTTTACCAAGGGGCTATAATAAGTGCTAAAGCAAGCAAATTCTTGCAAATTGACCCTCATGCAGTGGATCTACTTTCTATAACATGAAGATACAAATTAAGGCATAATAGAATAAAAAGACAATTGGAGAATTAAGATAGTAAAGTCATAGATGGAGCTTTATCAGTAGCACCTGAATTGAAGCCTTTGTAGTAGTTTTTAAGTTACCAGAATTAATACAGTGGACCCTTAAGTTATGACTGGCCTGACATATGAACACATTGGGTTAATTAGGTTAATGGAAGGGTCCTCTGCCTCTTGTTATCTATAGCATAGCGTGTACCCAGGTAAAATCCAGATCTCAACTCTACCGACTTAGTTACAACCAGCCCTCGTGAACCGATCGAGTTTGTAAGTCAAGGGTCCACTGTATATTGAGCTCTCTCAGACATGTGACACTGAGCTAGTCTCAGCCATAGAGCAATTGTTTGTGGTAGCTTCCCTTTATTCACTTACCTACCTTCATTTGGAAATTTTTTAAAATTCCCAATCATCTTGGGGCCCTTGGTGTAGGACTGACCTGTTGAATATGCCTGATTGGGCCATGGATTTAGCTCAGCGGTTCTGCTGCCTGCCCTGCAAGTGCAAGGACCCAAGTTCAATCGCGGGTACCAAAAAAAAGTTATTGAATATGCCTGATGAACCCTGATGGGTACAGAAATTTAGATTAGTGTCCTTGACAGTGATGAGTCTCCTATGCTCTGTGTTTGGTTGTGTGTCATGAGGATGCTGGAAATTACAGCCCTCGCCTTCCAAGGGTGTATGGATAGCAGGACCAACTCTTCATCATACAGTGGCTTCTGTATTACATAATCAAAAATGAAAAAGATTGCATAAATAGCATATGCTTAAATCACAAATGGTTGCCAGCTTTGTGATCCCAAGAGTTTCTGCAGAAAATCACGAATATGCCATCTTTAATAGTGTGATCAGTGGACAAATTACTTCTTGCAGTCCAGATATTGGTTCCAAGAGACATACTAGGAATCTCCAATTTACATATAAATTGTTTTCCAAAAGTTTCTTTTCACATCATTTGTTTTGAGCTTGGGCAGCAGTTCTCCAGAGAAAAAGTGATATGTAGTAATAATAACTTGTTAGCACCTTTTGTGTTTATTGAACACTTTGGAGAGAATGACACAACACAAGGCTTTGTGAGCTAACCAATCCTTCACATTACTTGACTTCACCAACCTGTGGAGATTTTATAAAAACTGGGGAGAGTAAAAATCCCCAAGGAAGGCTGCTGTAGGCGAGTCAGTCCAGGGTTTGATAACTGTGACAGGTCTTGTGTTCACATCCCATCCGCACCTCCCCACTGTCACCACTCTTCCTTTGCCAGTCACTTGGCATAGAAACAAATGAAGAGGAAAATTCTCTGTAATGAGTGGAACATTGTTCTAATTTTTTAAAGGTTCCTCTTGTAGAGTCAGCAGGATCGAGGTGGTTATGTTGTTGTGCTGTGGAATGTTTTTTGAATCCACGTTATGTACCAGATGCTGCTCACTTAATCCCCCCAGTCACCCCACCGCCAGGAGCTGGCCAAGCCGGTACAGTGCACGAATCTGGTCCCCTTTCACCTGTACCACTGCTGCTTGGGCCTGTGTTTTTAGTCTGGCTACTTTTTCCAAGCTTGTTTTATTAATCTAGTAGCAGGAAAGATGACTGAATTGGAAAATGAATTAGGATTTACATCTCCTTTTATCCTTGTCAAACGAAATCTTTGCCTCATCCAACTGTCTGCAAAATTATTCTTGTTAGAAACACTGGGCAGACTTTTGGGGATAGGCAGAGATCCTTGACTGTCTATGATGTAGATGGAGACTCCATTAAGAGAATTTACATATTTCTTTCCTGAGCTGCCAGAACCTTTTGATGTCTGTGGCATTTCACCCTAAAAAAGAGTAAAATTTGAACTCATGTAGAGTGATGCTTCAGTTCTTGGACGATTTGCTTGCGAACAGTTTGGCTCACAAACAGAAGTGTTTGCAAACTCTGCATGGGGTGACAAACATGGCCATCTTTCCCTCAAGAACACGACTATGACCATCTTTTCCAGAATCGTGGAATGAATTAAGTTCATGAACTGAGGTACCAGTGTATATATTTTTATATATGTCAATATTTAAAACCTTAGGATCTGATGATTCTGATCCTAATAGCCTGGGGGTCATAGCTATAAAGAGGCATAAAAGTGAATATTCCCTTAGGAGGGAAATATGACCCAGATTTTTTTTTTTTTACTGATATCAAGGGGACCAGGAATTTAGCTCAGTGGTTCTACCACCTACCCTGCAAGTGCAAGGACCCAAGTTCTATCCCTGGTACCAAAAAAAAAGAAAACAAACAAACAAAAAACCTGATATCAAAGGTCAAGGTTTTTAATGTGTGTTGGCATATCTGGTGTAATGAAAGAAGCCGGGGCAGACACAGGTTCTAACCTGGCTCTGTAGATAACTTGCTCTTTGACATTGAGCGGGCTACTTAAAACCTCATTTTCTGTTTGTAAATGGACTGTGACAGGTGCACAACATTAATTCTGGATAGCTTTATTTCCTTAAGTATGGAACCCTTTAGAATTGCAGGATGAGTAAGAGGGGGGAATTTCTTGACTTTTGAATTGGGGGTGTGGTGGGAGGGAAAAAAAGAAACTGGGAGGAGTTTGACAGATTCGTTGTACAAAACCAAAGATTTAAACAATGGCACTGAAAGTGTACTTGTGACTAAGGCTATTTACAAAGCCTAACCTTTTATCTTTTCCATAGTAGTTGCAAAAGCTTCAGTTCAGTTTCACTTCCCTCTTTCACATTCAGAGAGAAAAACAGCAGAAAAAATGATGAAACCAGAGAATTGATAAATTTTTTAATGACACATAATTTTTAAGTAATTTCCAAAGGCCACAGGCAACCTTGACTTTCTGGGACCTTTTATTCTCTCTGCCTTTTTATCTCTGTGAAAATAAACCTTTGTCAAAACAGCTGAATGAAGACTGAGAAAACAACTAAAAATTGTGTACCTCAGCAGCTGTAAGCTTAGGTTAGCAAATTTGGTTAGTTCTTTTTTTCGCTTAAATGAGTAAGTAGGCCGACCGGGTGGAGAAAAAATCTGAACCAGCATCATGAAGAGCTTGGCTTTCTTGGCCTGGCTTCTCTGAAGGCTGGCTTCCGGGAGCCGGTCCCTATCCGGAGGCAGAGGGCTCCTCACACAGCGACAGCACCGACTACAGGCTGTTTGTGGCAGCCTCCGCAGATCCATACCACACAGCTGTTTCAGATGCCAGGCCACGCTGGAAAGACCTTCAGGCGCAGCTTGGGCTGTGGCTGTGGCCGTTGAAAGCCCAGGCCGGCAAAGAGAGGGGAGGGCCGGCAGTGCCTTAGAGGAGAGCCACCCGGATGTGCAGCCTCCCGTCCAGGTGCAGTCGTCAGCGGAAGAGTGTGGAAGAGGGGTCTGGGAATAGGATTTGTTCCGCAATAGTTGGGAAATATGAAAGGGATAACAGAGGGAGGAAGATCAGGACGGAGCCTCTGGGAATTCCGAACGAGTGTGCGGGATGATGGCTTTGGGGCTGGTGGAGGTTTCTATGAGTTCTATTCCTGGGCTGAGTCCATGAAGCATGTGCACATGTGCCGGACGGCCTGCTTTTAAAATGCTTAAATTAATTTCAGTAGGACTCCACAGAATCTTTTGTTGTTAAGCATCTTTGATGTTCTGCAGATTAAGAGGATAGAACCATCCCCTCTATTCCGTTCAGTTCTCAGGAAAGTATTTCTTTGTCTTTTTATGGATTTAAGTGTAATAATTTTACTGGATAATTACAAAAGGGGACAAAGGCCATGAGAACTTACATCTAATGATACTTGATAGCAGACTTAATCTTTTTTGACTTTATTAGCAGTTTTAATTCCTTTTATTGCTTTGAGTGTCTGATTTATTTTTGAAGATTAGATGTCAGGGCATAAGAAAGTTTTGGGGGTTTATTTTAAAAGGTTTCAAGTTAGATAATTAGTTTTATCTTTTTTTAAAGATTGTCCCTGTTTTATTTGCTTGTTATAGGGCTACCTTCTGTTGCATTTTCTTTGGACAGCCATTGGTTCCTAGGTTTACCTGAGGAAAGGACATCTTAGATGTGCAATTTGCTATAAATATGAAAGCTTTTGAGTAAAACAGTGAGATTTTACTTAACTACAAGCTGCTTGCTCTTATTTCAGAAATTAAAGTTTTTTCTCTGTTCTCAATGGAAAGTATTTGGGAAACTTAAACAATTATTATAAAATTAATAATTTGTTGCATATTAGACACCTACGTGCTAAAAACAGATGTTCCTTGTTTGTATGTGTTTGAGCTATGGAATATAATATTAGTGTGTATTAAGGTTTGTATAAATAACTGGCAGATCAGCTTAAAATTTTTCATACAGTAAAGGCTTTTTAGGGAATAACTGCAGAGGATAAAAATCAGCCTGTGGTACAGTTACTGACTGCAGAGCTGACAGCAATGAAGTAGGCAAGCAAGACTAACCCAAATCTGCAAAAATAACTTCGGTCAACTGGGTTTACTTTGTAACTTTCTCGTTCTGATAGAATTTTTTCAGAAAACTTGGCCACAAGTGAGAAGCTGAGAACTCATGTCAAGTTTTTCCCACTTTTTCTGCTTCTGTTAAAATACGACTCTGGAGGTCGGTCAGAAGTTTCCTTACGATCGGTGAACTGGTTTGCATCGCCATGTAGGAAACCTAGACCCTGAGAGGCCACGTCACGGTGAATTACTGCTCTGTGCACAACCGAGTTCAGGGAGCGGACAGCACCGCAGGGCTGGCACCGCGGAAGGCAGGCTCAGGCCCGCAGGCCCCTCTCTGACCGTGTCGCCCCTCTCTCCCCGCAGGGACCCTCTGAAGATCCAGCAGCTGCAGAGCCAGATCCGCCTGGAGCAGGAGGCCTGCGCGCCGCCCTCGCCGCCCTTCCCGCCGCCGCCCGGCCTCCCCGAGCTCGCGGCCCGCGCGCCGCCCGCCGCGGCGGAGCCCATGAGCGCGCTGGCGTCCCGCGCCGCCTCCGCCATGCAGTCCTCCGGCTCCTTCAACTACGCGCGCCCCAAGCAGTTCATCGCCGCGCAGAGCCTGGGCCCCGCCTCCGGCCTCGGCACGCCCGCCTCCAGCCCCAGCTCGTCCAGCCTGCCGTCGCCGCTGTCCCCGCCGCCCCGGCCGTTCGGCCGCGCGCCCGGGCCGCCCCTGCCCTTCGGCGCCGAGCCCGACGCGCCCTGGTGCCCGTCCTCGCCGTCGCCCCCGCCGCCGCCGCCCCCGGTCTTCAGCCCCACGGCCGCCTTCGCGGTGCCCGACGTGTTCCCGCTGCCGCCGCCGCCGCCGCCGCTGCCCTGCTCGGCCCCGGCCTCGCACTGCTCCTCGCCCGCTGCCCGCTTCGGCCCCGGCCAGACGCCCGCCGCCTTCCTCAGCGCCCTGTTGCCCTCGCAGCCGGCCCCCGTGGCCGTCAACGCCCTGGGGCTGCCCAAGGGCGTCACCCCTGCGTGAGTAACCGCTGCCCCAGCCCCACACTCCTTGAAAAACTTGCCAGGCTTGGTGGCGTCCGACTGTAAACCTAGCATGGGAGGCTGAGGCGGGAGGATCCCGAGTTCCAACCCAGCCCGGGCAACTTAGGGAGACCGTGTTTCTCAACAGGGGAGGGGCTGTGAGGATGTCCCTCAGTGCGAAGCTCCTGAGTTCAATTCCCAGCACCGCCAAAATACATAAATGAGTATATAAAAAGAACATCCACAACCCAGGAATACCAGTGTAAAGTTTCACCAATTTTTCTCCATCTGATTTTAAATTATTACAGCAGCTTTAACAAGCTACTATTGCATAGCTCCCTTACCCTTACCAAGATCGACACATTTTCTTTTAAATTAAATATAAGATGTTCAACTATTCAAAATCTCTTCAGCGCTCTTTAATAATTACGACAGCAGCCTTACCTACCATTTGTCGAGCGTTGTGCTAAACAATTCTCGAATATTATTTCAGTTGATACAGCACTGCTAAGAGATAACACTGTCTCACACAACTGAGGAGTCTAGTAGTTAATCTCAAGATCACATAGCCATTAAACTTATATTTGAATCCATGTCTCACTCCAGAATTCATGTTCTCACCACTAAACTGTACCTTAGAATTGCAGCTCCGTATTACAACACATGTGGAAGTTTGGGTTAAGTATATGCTTAAGTGTTTTAGGGCTGGAGGTGGTAGCACACGCCTGTAACCCCAGCACTGTCTGTGAGGCTGAGGCAGGAATGCTGAAAGTTCGGGCCCAGTTTGGGAAACTTGGTGAGACCCTATTCCAAAATTAAAAATAGAAATAGAAGATCTAGGGATGTAGCTCATTGTGAAGACCCTGGGTTCAGTCCCAGTTCTGCAGCAAACAAAAAGTGTTTTAGAAAAACCTAAACAGAATTAGAAAATAAGGCTTTACATACAACCAGTGATCAGAAGGTGGAAAATATCTTTATATATATATTTGCAAATAGATGGTGATATATATAGTTTTAGTGAGAAATGATGGTACCAGTTCTGTCCCTGGTGACAGTGATGCGTAGGTAAATTTACAGGACTCCTCCATGCCCAATTTTTCTGTTTGCAGATTGGCTAGTATCTGTTTCTCCTGACTTCACGATGGAAGCCCTATGCATTGTTTGTTTGTTTGAAATAATCTGTCCATGATGCCCAGGCTGGTCTCAAATTCCTGGGCTCAAGTGATCCTCTGGCCTCAGACTCCTGAGTTGCTAGGCCTATGCCACTTCTGGCTTTCTATGAACTCTGTGAAATAGAAAATCATTGAAGATAAATAAGATGACATCTACAAAAGTGCAGTAAAACCTTCCAAAGAAACATATCCTTCAGGTGTTTGGCATGTTAGGTTGAAGAGGAAAATGCGTGAAAGCTAGCACGTAACTCATTTTACCAGATTTCAAAAATGCCTACGTGCTACCAGGTCAAGCCAGTACCCACATCTCAACTCTTCCTACAGAAATCCCACTTAGTTTGTCAGAAGCCTAACATAGTTCAGAGAGGAAAAAAGGAAACTCTACTTAAAGGTAAAATGAAGAAGGCCTTCGAATTCAACTTATTTTCATTCATATGTAGTTTCCTATCACGGCGATGAACTGAGGCCATGTTAACCACAGGCATTGCTGTATCTGACCTTGACTAGCTTCCCTTAGCCTTATTTCTCTGGGTATTTTGTAAGTGTTGATGACATGAGTTGTATATTTGAAATCTGGCTTCTTTTCAAATCCTTATTAGAAAAAGCATAGTCAGATGATGATGCAAATAAATAAGAAAAGAAAGAGAATCTGTACAGTAATCATGTGATAATTTCTATTGAAAGATGAGTCAGTGACCTTTCCTGGGGAGAAACTGTTCCGTACCCCAACTTTTGTGTTTGAAACTATTAGAGAGATTTGCAGGTGGAAGTTTGTTACATGCCAATGCTCTCAATAACGTGGTACCGAATCATGTTTCCCAGGAAGGTAAGTACTGAATAAATCATCTGTCCTTGCTACTTCTCATACAAAATTTGATCAGAGACGAGCCTTCCCAAGGCATTGGGTGGTCAGGCCTTGAATCATCTTAAGTAGAAAGAGTGGTTTGTTCTGATCTTTCACTTTGAAACTCTTAAGAAGGCAACGAGTTTTAAGGGTTTACCTCAAGTTAACGGGAGCACTTGCTTCTCTGTGGAGCCAAAATATTTTGTAATTGTTACCACAAAAGGGTACAAGGGTTCTTGACATTTCTTAAAAAATAATGGAGAAGTCATGCTGATTTGCAGCTGTGGAAAACTAGACCAAACAGTAGGCAATATGACCAAAGATGCGTACTAGGCTGCAGATTTTTAGCTCTGCAGCAGCCCACTAAGCCATCATTATGTGATCACCCTCTTGTCTTGAAGGAACCGTCGTGTTGTTAAGTCACCCACACTTGAAGAATTCATTCTTTTGGTTTGAAAATGTGTCATTTGAAATGTTTCTCCTCTGGCATATTGTGGGATCCATCCTTTGCAATCTGAATTAAAGGCAAAAATCAAGAGTCTCTTTCAAGGCTGCTGTGACTAATTTGTGTCCTTCAGTGTGTAGGAACTGCCAATTATTGTCAAATTGTAGGTTCTAGAAAATGGGGATTGATTATGAATGATGGGTTGAAACAAAAATTCATTAATTCTTTGCCTGCCTTTGACCAAAACCTTAAACTTCATTTTCAGATCCCTGTTTTCTTAACTACCAACTGCAAACCTTTTGCTTATTCTATTTGTGTGTTTACTTTAATTTGGAGGCAAGAAGTTTGGTATGTGATACACATTAAGTTCCTAAATAGTCCATAGAGGTAGGTTCTGTTTCTCAAATATCTGGGCAGCAGGGGTCAAGACAGGGAACAAAGATCCTGGATGCTAGTGATGAGGCCCCAAGCCAAGAGGGCAAAAAGCCTGTGCTCACAGCAACAGTGTGCAGTTGCTGGCTACAGTGTGGGGAGTTTCACATCTGGTACCTTGGTTATCAGTCCTCGGGAGCACATCCATCCCCAAGGCTGCTGGTGGAGAAATGTCACCCTCCTCAGAGATGCTGACAAGACACAAATGTTGATGAGGCCTTAGAGATCTGTTGGTACTTTCTCATAACGTGGATGTTTTGCTGAGAGTTAAACTGGCAGCCTCCACTGCTGTACTCCTGTTTCTCCACACAGTGACTTAGTCCTCAAGGGTGGTCGGAATCCAGTTGGCCCTGTCAGAGAATCAGACAGACCCTGCATCTCCTGCCCCTCTTTGCAGCCTTGGAATCTGCTCATCAAAGAGTGGCACATGGCCTCTGGCAATAGGGTCTCTTAATTGCCTCTTTTATACAAGCAGGGCTTTGGCGTGAATTGTTACCCTACCATTGTCACTAAGAGCTTTTAATGCAAGTACTGAGAGCTTTAATTCAGTGTCCCTCTCTTTCCCTTGACTTAGGGGAAATAGGTAGGGAACACTGTCATCTTCCTACACTGGGTAAGGGGATTTCCCAGGGTTCTAGAACAAGCTTGAGAAAAGCTCGCATCTGCAAAGCTTTGTGATGTGAGCCAGCCTTGAGTGTGCTGGAGATCACCTATCTACAATAAACGTGATGTCTAATATTTCTTGATTAAAGAAAATAGTTGGAAAAGCAACAAACAACCCCTGCCCCGAGTCTCAGGGAAAAGTTTGTAACATTTAATTTAATCATACTTTTTAATTTCAGTTGTACAGTGCATTTTAGGCAGTTTTCAAGTCAAAACATTAGTTAAATAGTGATGAGTGAAAAAGAACCCAACAGCCATGCCTGTCATCCAAACACTCTGGGAGGCTGAAGCAGGAGGATCACAAGTTCAGGTCCACCAAAGAACCCAACAGACAAAAGGGTTGCTGGACCTTGCAGATGTCCTGTTATTCCTGTCTTTCTCTTGTCTTTCAGGAAAACTGACAGGTGGGAGGCCTGCCATCCGTCAGTAGCCAGCAGAGATTTGAAGGCGGGCATTCCCAGGCTCTTGTTATGGGGCTTGTTAGGGTCCGGTATTTTAGAGGATTCCACCTAAAGTTGGATCCTGTCCTGGGCAAGTATTTTGCAGATGGAGAGGTGGGCCCTCTGGGGTCTCTGCCTGGTGAGGACTCTGTCACAATGTCTCTTCCCCGGGGGCTGTGCAGGGGCAGACGGAACAGGTTGCTGTAGCCCACACACCTGTGCTGTTTAATGCTTACAGAAGGTGCTAAGACGAGAGCTTCATATTAGAATATTTAAATAAGAGCACAAAGTACCTGTTCATTATACCTTAAAAAAATACTTTGGCATCATGATAAAATTCAGTTTAGAAACATAATTGATATAAAAACTGTTGTATCATGGGCTATTTTATATACTGATGAAAATATTATATTCTTGAATATGAGATGTCTAGATGTTAACATGCTAAGGAGTTTGCTCACTCTGAATTTTTTGTGGAATTTAGTTACCATCAAATATCGATGAATTGGAGGTGAACCCAGTAAGAGGACTTTCAGTGGTTTTAAAAAAGTCTCTGCTTGCTACACAGGCACCTGAGCTCTTAAATCGATGTTGAACTCTGGATATTTGAGTTTCTGAAATATACTGACAGAATTGACCTAGAATAATAATACATCAAAGGAAGGATTATTCAAGATTATTCAGTAGGCAAAAATTTAAAAAAATAACCTCCTGAGATTTGGAAGTGGTCAAATGTGGACAGTTTTATTTTCCAGATGCGCGCACGCACGCGTGTGTGTGTGTGTGTGTGTGTGTGTGTTTATCCAACCACATGAATATTATTTTTAAATGGCAAGTGACTTACTCTTAAAGCCAGAGTAAACAGATCAGTAATGCGTTTTGCGCAGCTGGGCCGATCGTGTATACACTGACATGTAAGTGAGCGAGTTAAGTTGTTTACTAGTTAAGGTCAGGCTCTGAGTATGGATTTTTGTGAGGAGTTCAGGTTTTGGTGAAAATTTACTTTAAATAAGCATTTTTACAAAACTATACAAACCATCGTGGAGAGAATCTCTTTGTCACCAGATAACTCTTTTTATCTCTTTGTGAGTTGCCACTCTTCATTTCTCAAAAGCAGGTGCCAGTTGGGGCTGTGGACCCACAGCTGTCTTACATTAAACCCCAACAGAATAGGTTTTTATAGAAAAACAAAGTCAGCTGCCAAAGTTTTGCCTCAAAAACTTACTTTTCTTTCCTGACGTTTCTCCTTCCCAAAATACTTCATTTTTATTTCTAACACCAACCTTATATGCTAACCTTAAATTCCATCCTTTTAACAGTTTTCTAAACTATTTTTAATTACATTACCCTAGTGAGATGCTCTCTGAACACAAGTTCTTATTTTAGAACAAGTGTGAGAAACGCTGTTTCCTTGTCTCTTTCCTCAAATGTTGGCCCTGCCAGGCTCTTTCTGACCATGGGAACTTGACACTGCGTAGCTGTCCCTGTAGGTCCTTACACAAGCTGAATTGAACTTCCAGTCGTTCACAGCCTCAGCTGTAGTGTCACCTCCTCAGAGGTTCAACTCTATTATCTAGTATGGCTATCTACTGACACACCAGTCACTTTGTGCCACTTACTACCTCCCGCTAAGTCCTTCCTTCCATTCTTTTGTTTTTTCCTATCTCTCTCTACCATCTCCTCCATGGAAGATAATTTTTAGAATGTATTGTGACTTAGTTTTGTTCAACATTGAATTCCCAGCATCTAGAATAGAGTTGGGCACTGAAAAAGCAGTCAGTAAGAGTTATTTGCACATTCTTGGAAATTCTGGTCAAGAATTCTTGGCATCTTTTTAGACTCCTTCCCCTCATTCATTCTGTTTCCCTTGGCCAGTCTTGTCTCTGTGATTCACTTCCGTGTGGAATGCTTTGTGTCGGCCTCTCCAGATCCACTCTTACATGCCAGGCACTGTTCTAAATGCTCAATGTACACTAGCTCGTGTAGTCTTCCCAGTAATCCTGTGAGGTACATGCTGTGAACATCACATTTCACAGAGGTGGAAACTGAGAAAATGGTCGCTAGGTTATTTTCCCAAGCCTTGGAGCTCTTAAGTGCTTTAAAAAAAAAATGTTACTTTGTGCCTTTTTTCTTCTGGCTCTGAATTCCTTCCTCTCCCCCTCCTGCTTGTTGACACTCTCATTTTCCAATGTCCATCTTAGATACTCAGCTCTTTGACACAGCCCTCTGCAGTCCTTCTAGCCAGCACTGTTTCTATTTCTGTTTTTATTCCCATTGCATCTGGAATTCATACCACATGGTTTGCTCCTAAACTTATACCCCAGCCTGATTATTAACTAATCTCTTGTGATGAAGAGCCATCTTTAAGAATTTGGTTCTCTTTCCAACTCACATAAGATAATGTTTAAACTATAGCGATGAAGCTTGTGTTTCTAATACATAGAAGTTCATGATGTCATCGGGCAATATAATCACCTTCTAAACCAACTGTTGTTTTCTAGGCTTAAGAGAATGTGTATGATGTATTGGCCTAAGACTGTGTCTTGCTTAGATGCACAGTAATATTTGTGAAATGACTTGAATTTGATAATTTAATTGATTCTTATTTCCTTATTGAGAAGCAAGGAAATATGAGAAACTTTAATTCTGTAAGTAAAGAAAAATCTTTTAAAGATAGGAGGAAAAGAGGAGTTACATATAGTAATCTTGATATTTAGACAATTGATGATTTGTTAAAAGAAATACAGAATGATCAGGGTTTTTCTTTGGGTTGGAGAGTAATTATAATATATTCTTGAAATGATAAGATAGTTGGGTTCCCGGGACCCAAACCATGATAAATGGGTTCTCTATAAAATGTTCCAGAGTGATAGTTCTAAGTCCCCTGAAAAGAATCAAGTACACTGAAAAACTCTTTCCAAGCAGCAGTACTTATTCTGCAGTAGATAGGTAGGTTTTTACCTGTCTAAAATGGTTGTGGTTGTCTTTAAAAGCGTCAGCTCTCTGCTTTTCCTGTCTAGCTATCTGCTCAGCCCAATGCTCACCTTTTTACCCCTGCCATTCTCATTTGTACTGAGAATGCTGCTCTCGGTGTGGTCCACAGCAGCACGGCGATGCCTCTGTGTCCATCATGTACTTGTGCAACTGGGTCATGTCCAAGCTAGGAGTAATAGTGGGAAACAGTGTGTGCCACCAATATCTGATGGAACACAGAACTGTCTTCAGTTTTGTCTCTGAGGTTACTTTGAAACCTAACTTTTCCATTTCTTAGATGTAAGGCTGTAGTCAAAAGCAGCGTAGAACTTTGGTTCCAAATTTGTGTAATATTTACATGTCCTGAGCCTGACTTTTTAGATATGATATGGTTTCAGATGGCACTGGCACAAGTTTCCTCGACTGAGGAAGCAAAAAAGTGAAGATAAATTCCACATCCAGTCACTCAGTGCAGAAGTATTTGAGTGTCAGTTAGCAAGCCTTGTGATGAACAGTCGAGCCACGGTGAGAGAGACCATTTAGGAACACATGATTACAAGCACAATAGGTGCTATAAAGAAAACTCACAGCCAGGCATGGTGGCACACACTTCTAATCTCAGCACTTAGGAGCCTGAGGCAGGAAGATCACCTCGAGTTCAGGTTAGCCTGAACTACATAGTAAGACCTTGTCTCAAAAACAAACAAGCAAACAAACACAGAAAACAAATAGATACATCACTAATGGGGTAGAGTTAGGGATGTCTTCTCCAAGGAGACTTTAAACTGAAGGCTGATGACATACACTAAGAAAAAAGAATCGGGGGCAGTACAAGAAAGCTAGCAAATTGGGCATGTTTTTGTTCAAGAACTGCAGGGTACTAAAAACTGGATTATAAATCGTAATTGCTATGGCTTTTGCTATCAGTATTTCTCAGGTTCACTGCCCAACTCCCTGTCAAGATCAGTTCCCAGGATACTATTTAAAGTTTGGCCATTTCTTTGACATTACAAACACAGGATGTCGCAATATTTTATTTTGTTGTTTCTCTAGTGTCTAAGAGTAAGTGCTCTAATTTGAACTTTAGAGGAAAATGACTAGAAAGTACAGATCTGAAAAAGCAGGTTTTATCAGTTAGGATACTTTCCACTAAAAGCATCAGAAAACTCAACTACAAATCCATGTGTGCCTTAACAAAGTGAAACTCACCCATCTCTAATACGTTTGTCTGAAATCCCCCCCACGACTCCCAGTTACACCCACTGCTCTCCCCTAAGCGTTGACTAGTACCCTGAATTTCTGAGTTAATCATTCTTTTATTTTTGTAATTTCAAATTCTGTTTTTGAAATTCAGCTTTGTTGATATGGGTCACTCGTTTCACACTGTATGGTCTTCCATTTGTTACTAATCTCACTGGCCTGTGAAGAAAAGAAAGAAATAGGAAGCAACTTGTGTAAGGCACCAACAAAAGTGATTCCACCAGCTATCAAGTGTGCAGCACTATGACTCCCGGCTCACCCAGTTCAGGGCATTGTTGCTGCCCTAGGAAAGAAAGGACCTGAGATTTCACCCATCCTACTCCAGAAGTTTGGGAGGTTGGCAGGTTCCCAGGCCTTGAAGACTTCCCAGAGCCCTGTATGAAAGAGATATCATTAAGGGCCAGGGATTTAGCTCGGTGGTTCCGCTGCCTGCCTTGCAAGCACAAGGTCCCGAGTTCGACCCCTGGTACCAAAAAAAAGATATATTAAATCAGAGGCTGGCTTACTCTAATCAAATAGGATATATGAGGGGGTGGAAGGGAACACACATAACACAGGGTCATCCCTAATATGAAAATCCCAAGTCTGAAACGCTCCAGAATCCAAAACATTTTGAACATCAACACAGTGTCACAAGTGGAAAATTTCACGCCTCACTTCATGTGATTGGGTCACAGTCATAATGCAGGTACACTAAAAATATTGTATAAAATTACCTTCAGAATATATATATATGTATATAAAACAAATAAATTTCATGTTTAAACATAGGTCTCATCCCTGAGATCTCATGATGTACATGGAAATATGCCAAAATCCAAAACACATTTGATCATAAGAATTTTGGGTAAGGGATGCTCTTATTCTTTTAGAATCAGGTAGCCATTGTTGTTGAATAAAGTGGATTATGAAGGATCAGAAAACTGAATAAAAGTATGAAAGAAATATGTCCTCTTAGAAATCTTCTTCATATTCATATGTGGTAAATATTGTATACCTGTTTTGTAAAACACTTTAAGAAATTGCTAAAGCTCACAAATCTAATACAAGGTAGAGTCAGATTTCAAAGTACGTGTGATTACAAATCACATCATTTTCCACTTTACACTGCTGTTTCCCTAGGACTGCAATATACTCCCCCAGCCACTTGAACCTTCTCTGAATTAGTGTTCCAATTAGTGTTTTGGGGATTGCTAAAACCAGATTTGATGGTTCTTTCCATTAGTTGTAATAGATGCAGCACTAAAAAGAAAAAACAAAAAAGTGTGGGAATGACATGTTGATGCATTGTGCTGTCTCTTTGTTGGTCTTAGATGTTTGACTTGGATTTATATGCCTGAAAAACTGACAGGACTACCTCATGCTTTTTTGACCTGCAGGGGATTTCCAAAGAAGGCCAGTAGAACGGCTAGAATAGCCTCTGATGAGGAGATCCAAGGCACAAAGGATGCTGTCATTCAAGACTTGGAACGAAAACTTCGCTTCAAGGAGGACCTCCTGAACAATGGCCAGCCGGTACTGAGGCAGATTAGGGGTGTGGACTGGGAATATCAGCTTCCCTCATCAAAGATCTCTCACCTTAGTTAACTAAAATTTAGATTTCTGAGATTTGTCCACCAAATTATTTCATTACCCCAGAATCTCAACATATCTTTTAGTGAGTTGGGGATAAAGGAAGAAAAGACAGGTTTTAGGGCTGAGAGTACAATGAGTAATGACTGTATTATCAAGAAAAGAAATAGGGTGTATAGGTGGGAAAGGAGGGAGAAAGGGTACCCTGGGATCTTCTGTACCCAGAAGCAGTGAATTGGAATAAAGTACCCAAAGGAGAATTTGGATTCGATGACATATACTCCTTCTACCCAGAAATATCTTTGCCAGAGAAACCATAGCTGAAGTTCAGTCCTGTCCTACCAGATGATGACTGGGTACTGGTTCATTAATCTGCAAAGGTAATGCCTACTCCATACCCTTGTAGTTGGTCACAGTAAGACAAACTTGAAAACATTATGCTTTAAAGCTGCAGAATTGTAGAGTACATACAGAATCTGGTGGAAGATATATGGGATCTTTCCTCCATTGAACTTACAGGTTTCCCCATCAGTTTTTGTATTTGGTTTTTGCTGGTTCTTAGCACATCAGAAGTTTTGTTTTGTTTTTTTGGTATCGGGGATTGAACTCTGGACCCCTGTGCTTGCGAGGCAGGTGGCAGAACCACTGAGCTAAATCCCCAGCCTCACACATCAGAGTATTTTAAGGGAATGGGAAAAGCAAGTCTAGCAAGTAACATTTACCAGGCAAAGGAGAAGACTCTTTGATAGCTTTCGTGAAACATTACCAGAAAAATCTGCATGGGTCTTAAATAGAAGAACAAGGTGTTCCATTCCTTCCCTTTTTGTTTTTTAATATGTAAGGACTCTTCATATAAAAATTGCCCCTCAGTCACTTTTTTTCTGTGCAAAGTATATCTTCTGGGAATTTTAATTATCAAGCATGGATAAATAAAAATGTGAAGACAGACCATGCTTGACTGGAAGGGTGAAGAATGGAGTGGGATGCTGAGTGCTAACTTTAAGTACTGGGGCATCTAAATCTCATTAAGGAAGATGAAAATCCAAGCGAGTTTCCTGTTCCTCATTTTACTGGGTGTAGATGATCTTCAGAAAAGGAAAATGTTTTCTCCCTGAAAGAAGTGATCGCATGTGTACACTCTCTGGAAGTTTTCCCTGGCTCTGTCAACTAGAGTCTTTGAAAGATTAAAACAAATACTTAAGGGGACTTTTTCAAGCCAGGTGGAGGCATCTCTCCAGCTTTTTCCCCACCTTCTTTTTGGTTGTTTACTTAAATTTTCCTTGTGGACTAAGATTCTCTCATTAAAAGACTCCTATAAACTTCTATTCAACCATATTAAATGTGTTTCTATGTATTTGTTTAGCAGTGAATGATGTTCTTAGTAAGTTTCATAGATTTCCACAGTCAAGAGTTTGAACAGAAAAGAAAAGTAAAATTTCCCTTTTTACAAAATGGGTTTTCAGACAACTTTTTCCTAATGTTACATTATTAATCTGTTATTTACTTTTGGCTTCTGTAGACAAGGGCTTTTATTTTCACATGGCATACTGCTTTAGAAACATATTTGTGAACAAAGATTAAAATTCATTAAAAACTAAATAAGTTCTGCACCCCAAAGCAAGAAATCCGTAAAGTAAATCTGGCTTCTAATGGTAGCAGGTGCATTCTGGGAAGGAACAGATAACAAATCGGTATTTCTGCCTAAATGAACAGGGTGGAAGTCATCCCAGCATACCCTTCATGAGAACATCAGGAAGACTTTTTAAGAGAGCAAGTATTTAAAATGCTTTTTAAAAACTGAATTCACTCTCTTTTTTTTTTTTTGGTACCAGGGATCGAACTCAGGACCTTGCACTTGCGAGGCAGGCACAGCGCCACTGAGCTACATCCTCAGCCCTGAATTCACTCATTTTTAAAAATAGATTTGAGAAAATTGATTTACACATTGATATCCTGGATTAAATCACTCCGAGCACCACTCCACACTTACCTCTACCTCTTCTTGTTCCTTGCCCTTTCTTTATTAAAAGAAATAATTTGAACTTTAGAACTATTTGGCACTTGATTTGTTTCACTTCCCGGTTTAACCTGGGACTAGAACCAGAAATTACTGGAAACTGTACATTTTACCCAACATATTTTCCTGATTAGCACATTTCCAATAGAATTTCTATCTATATTCAGTAGTTTGGAAGTTAAATCCCAAATAACTTTCGCACTTGTTTTTAGATTCTACACTACTAATTCAACCCCTGCTTGGCCAGGTGTTCTCTGAAAGTTCTTCCTGGATCTGTAATTTTCAGGCATTTTTAGAACCAACACTCAAATGCAAAGTCACCCAACAGACAGATCAAACATGTAGGCGTTTCTTAGGAGTAAAAATGGCCCAGCAAAATGGTTTTGGCAGACTCCAGAGTGTTGTTTGCTAGATGCAAAAACAGGACCTTTTTCTTTCTGATGGGAGAGCAGCTTGCTTCTGAGTCATGAATTATAGATGTCAGGTTAGCCAGTAAACTTTGGAGTCTTGTTGCTAATTCAGCCATGTGCAGTCATTCTTCATGGATTGTAATCTTTGCCTCTATTCACCTTCATTACACAGTAGCTCAGGAACTGCTCTTGGAGGTGAGACCTCCCCTGCCCCTCCCTGCCCACTCAAAAAAAGCAGAAAGGACCATTACTGTCAATTGGTCTAAAACTTCCATTTATTAATATTTACTGATCACATACTATGTGCCAGACATAGTGTTAAGTGGCCAGTAGAATTACCTCTGTCAACAGTGCTTGTTTTTTATTATCTTCTTACTGATCAGTGTGTTCTCCATTTGAGCGGCTTTCTGTTTTTTGTGTCAGTTGGTCTTGGAGCTGACTTTACTGTTCCAAAGCATGTGAATGGCTTTGAAAATAGCATTTCCCTTATCATATTTTGCTGTCTGAATAGTCCCCCACCCCAGTTTTCATTAAGGATAAGAATGACACATCTTCTTCATGTGGTCTCTGCTTTGTTGCTTGTCTTTCACTTTAAATTTATGCTGTATCGGTTGGTGGTTCCCAGGATTAATTATCTCATCTCCCAACACTGGTTAGGCCAGGAGGACCTGGAGGGAAGTAGGAAAGCAGAACAGAAGTGGAAGCAAGGGAAAGAACAGACTTCTTTTACATACGGCTATCTGAAGCTACAGGGAAATAGTTACAGAAGATAGCAAAACTCGTTCTCACTTTTTCATAGGGCAATATATATAATTGTGCTTTTTTTCCTATTTGTGTTTTTTGTGACTTCCTGTGTTTAGAGGTTAACATATGAAGAAAGAATGGCTCGTCGGCTACTAGGTGCTGACAGTGCAGCTGTCTTTAATATGCAGGAGCCAGAGGAAGAAACAACTAATCAGGTACTGTGTTGCTCTGGACTTCTTAGAAAAATAACTATCATTCTGCCCCTTTTCCCTTACTCTTCTTGGACACTATTCCTGGGATCACTTTTATGAAAAGTAAAGGGCAAGTCACAGGACAGCCATATTAATATCATCAATCAACCTCATCGCTAATATTTATTAAACACTATGTACAAGACGCTGTGGTAGTGATTAATTAAATTATTTCCACCAGTAATAACTGTTCTTTTATCTTTTCATCGACTAGTTTATTTTCCTTTCAACCAGCTTTCTAGTTTTCTTGCTTTAATGCAAGGTAGTTTTGTATGAAGAAAGGTATTTTCAGTGTCATTGTTTGAAATAAGCTGGTAAATAGTTCCCATTATATTTTTATATCAAAGTGAAGTAGCTATTTGTAGAGGAAAGACTGCTTATCTTTATCTTCCTTCACATGTGCAGTTATAAGCACTAATCAGCAAAAGACCTAAAATGCTATTTTTATTCCCCTGCTTTAAACGAAAAAATCACTTCATGGAGCTGATGTATGCTGCTTTCTACTCCCTTACTGCTTCTGTAGTTTCCAGATGAATTCTCAAGCTTAAATACAAAAACTTTCAAAAGAGCTATAAAGGCTCAAGTAAATTCTTTTTCCCATGTATTGAGAAATGAGTCTTCCTTCAAAATCTGAAAGTTTCTCTGTTAAATATTAATACCACAAAAGTTTCATTTAGAGAAAACTATGGGTCTTGCTACATCTTATTATTTCTATTCCTACTCTTCACTTCTCTTTTTCTGCCCTTACAGGACATTGGGTCTCCTCATGCTTCTGTAGGGAGTCCTCTGGATGGTCAAAAGGTTAAGCTTTTTGCCTTTCTTCTCTTTCTGCTCTTTCACTATGTCTGCTTTTTGGTTTTTTTCCTGCTCATTCTTAAGTGTGTCTGTCTGTCCTTCCATATATTATAAATGCTATAATCACGTCAATTTTTGTTTAGTATCAGTTGAGCAAAATTACTGTAGTTTTTTGTCATTTATTTAGAGACCTCAATTTAGTTCTTACTTTAGTGGATACTCTGAACTTTAAATTTTTTGTGTGGACTTCACACTGAGCTTTATCCTCAGCCCTTTCTACTTTTTTTATTTTGAGACAGGTTCGCACTAAGTTGTCTAAACTCAGTACTAATGCTTAAAGAGATTAACTTGATAGTAATTAAAACAAAACAAACTTGTAGTGCATTGCTCAGTTTTATTCATACCATTGTATTTCTCCCCTCAAATAAACACATTTTTTTTTAAAGTATAATTTCTTTAAGAGAAAACTAGCTGGGCCAGGGATTTAGCTCAGTGGTTCCAGCGCCTGCCTCAAAAGCGCAAGGTCCTGAGTTCGATCCCCCATACCAAAAAAAAAAGAGAGAGAGAGAAAACTAGTTGAAATTATCTCCTATTTAACATTAAATAGGGAATATTTTATAACAGGCTGCCCATGTTCATTGCACTTTGTAGGATCCACCTTAAACACTATAGGATGTTGATGGAGTCTTGGTTTTGCTTTTATACTTTTAACCCAACTTTTGACGAGACTGTCAGTCCTGATTTGCTTTTAAAGAGTGGATCCCTGATAGCTGCAGAGCTAAGGAAGGGCCTCTAGGAGACAGAGAGTTCTTATGGGTAAAAAAAAAAAAAAATGGAGCCATATTTTCCACTATTCGTTTGATAAGATTCTCTGTAATACTGCAGCTGCTTGCCACATGCACTTTAGCCTCCTGGAGAGGTGTACCACCCTGCATCAGTTTTTCCCTACAGAAGGAAATCAGTGTTCCTTGGGGTTTCGTTTTTATGAGCAGATTAGGAATACATTGCCTTTGCTTCTTTCTTTCCTTCAGTCCTTCAGTCCCCTCCCAAGAGAGAAAGGAGGGGGAAAAACTCATCTTTGTGGGTTTTGGGGGGATGATAGGACTTGAAGACAACTTGAAATATCATACATACTCATTTCCAGATGTTTTTTGTTTTCTATGGAATTGAATTGGGCTCAGACTATGTTCTTAAGCTATATAGTAAAAATACCACTGTGTTTCCAGTGCCTTATTGGACAGAGGAGTAAGACTCCCGAAACACAATGCACTACAAGGGAGTAAGGCTGCTAACTTAAACTTGCTTTATTTGATGCAGGAATACAAAGTCTCCAGCTGTGAACAGAGACTCATAAGTGAAATAGAGTACAGGCTAGAGAGGTCTCCCGTGGATGAATCAGGCAGTGACATTCAGTATGGGGATGTGCCTCTGGAAAGTGGTGTGGCACCCTACTTTGAGATGAAGCTGAAACATTACAAGATCTTTGAAGGAATGCCTGTAACTTTCACTTGTAGAGTGGCCGGGAATCCAAAGCCTAAGGTAAGCTAAAAACATGATGTTTTAAGAGTTTTCTTTGTCCATTTTGCATTGCTGTAACAAAACACCTGAGCCTGGGTAATTTATAAGGAAAGAAAATTGTTTGGCTCATGGTTCTGGAGTCTGGGAAGCCCAAGAGCATGATGTTAGCAAGGGCCTGGTGCCCCTTCCACTCGTGACAGAAAGCAAAAGTGTATCACATGGCAAGACAAAGCAGGTGCGCTAGAGAGAGCTCACTCTCATACAAAAATTACTCTTAAAATAACCCATTGGCCATTAATATCCATGAATGGATTAATCCACTAATGAGGGACAGCCCTCATGACCCAGTCACCTCCCAGAGTTCTCACCTCTTATCTTTCTAGATTGGGGACCAAGCTTCCAGGAAATGAATGTCAGGGATATACTTAAACTAAAGCAAGAATCACATTGTTTAAGAACGAGTTGGGTTCCGAAAGATAGCACATATGGTAGAAAGAAGAGATACAGACCAGCTCTCTTAGTATCCAGGATGTAAAAGTTTTAAGGTGCTGTTAGGTTTAGGGGCAACTCGGGGAGACATTAGAAACCAAAAACAAAGCGGGGCTATAGCTTGGTAGAGTGTCTGTTTTGCACACTCAGGGCCCTGGGCTGGATTCCCAGGGAAGAATGGAAGGAGAAAGAAAGAAACCAGAAAGAGGTGGAAGGTAGGAGACCTGGGGTTCAGGTTTAAAGAATATAATAGAACAGGAACAAGAGAATAATTAACGAGGAGCTCTTCACACACTTCCATCATTTATTCCTCATTCTTACTCTCAAATTGCAAATGACTAAAGAGTTCTGTGGGATTAACTTTCTCAAGGTCAGAGAGTCCGTAAGTGACCAGATTTGGACGTGAGCTCAGTGCTTCATACCATACAAAGATGTAGTATTCACCACTGGTGACAGAAACTTCAATCTTGAGTCTACAAAACCAAGGCTTCCTATATTTACAAACAGGGAAATATTCCAATTATGCCAAGAATATGGTAAAGAAGTTCTATTTATAACAGAGTTTATTTTAAAAGTCTCATCTTTTTAGAAAATGGGTATGAGTTTTAAAATTTAAGGCCTTTTTCTTTAATCTGTTTTTCTCTGACTCAATGGTTAGAATTTAGTTCTTAAAACTAACCTGATTCTGAGAACAAAACGTTATGAAGCCATAGGAATTCGAACCTGGACGTGTCATGTGTTACAATATCTCTTTCCCCTCTTCCATTTTACTACACTCATTTCAGCTCTTTTCACATCACTGTTAATCTTACAATTTCAGTAAGTATATTTCTCATTTTATATACCTTATTTTTCAAATTTGTGTTTTTATACTGTCCTGTCATTATAGTTTCTATTCCTTTAACAGTTTAGTCATTTGAAATAGTTACTATATAGTCTCCTTAAGATTGTTCACTGTGCGGCCAGGGATTTAGCTCAGTGGTTCCTCTGTCTGCCTCACAAGCACAAGGTTGGGAGTTTGATCCCCGGTACCAAAAAAAAAAAAAAAAAGATTGTTCACTATGTACAGTGCTTGCCCTGTTTTCTTTTTCTTGTGCTACCAACTCTCCTCGTTGTTTCCCCATATGGTTAGTTTTTTATTGTGAACTAACATATAGTAGCATTTACTCCCTTCTATTCTGTAGAAGTCTGATATGCCTTACTTAACCTGTGAAAGTGTCCCATGTGGAAACATTTTGTACGCTTCTGAAAGGAAGCTAGGGATTTTAATTACCCAGAACCAAATTTCCTATTAATATTTCTGCTTTTGGCTCAGTATCATGTAATAGTGTAAGCTTGGGGTTTCAACACTTTTTTCTGTTTTCAATTAAGTTGGGGATAACGGTAATCCGTTTATTGCTTTGCTGAGTTAGGAAACAATTATTCTAGTCATCCTTTTAAAGACAGGACACAAATCCTATCCAGGTCAGCCTAATCTGGTGGTGGCGAACCTGTGGCACGCGGGCCACAGCCGGCTGTTTGTACCATTGAAAGCTCTAAAAAGTTCGCCATCTCTGGCCTAATCCTTCACAGTATCAGCAGTTTTGATCATCCTTCCTAAATAGCATTTTGCTTTTCAATACTACTGATTTCTTTAATATCATGGGAAAGCCGACAAGCCTTCAACCTTTGGTCACATGCTTCTTGGCCCAGAATTAAAGCAACAGAGTTCCAACCATCATCAACCTTTGTTGCCTCACTCCCAGCCATGTTTTTTTTCTTAACTCATCTGACACAATTCAGTAGAATGATTAGAATTTGGGGTTTGTCTTTGTTCTCTACCTTTTACCTTTACCTTAAAAGTAATGCGTTTTAATAACCAATACATTTGAAAAATGAAAGAAGAAAAATGTCTCTAATGCTACCTCACTGCCAAAATTCCCTACATATTCCTTCATATAAATAATAAATGAATCTAAATACCATCCTTTTTTTAAAAAGATACATATATTTCACATACTTTTTTAAACAAAAAATGATATATACATTTTTAAAACTAAAAAGAAATTGAACTCATTTGCTATCTGCTTTTTTCACTCAAATCAATTTCCTATTCAGGGGTTTGATTTAACATTTTAATATGAAAACTCAGATCAGCTCAGCAGACCACACTTTTATTTTTAGTCCTCCATCTAGACTAAAAGTACACTCAATCTTTCATCTTTGCTTCCTTCTACAGATCTACTGGTTTAAAGATGGGAAGCAGATCTCTCCCAAGAGCGATCACTACATCATTCAAAGAGATCTTGACGGGACCTGCTCGCTCCACACCGCAGCCTCCACCCTAGATGACGACGGGAATTTCACAATCATGGCTGCCAACCCTCAGGTGAAGAAGGGTGGAGGGCTAGGCTCTTGTGTGTGGTGCTTGCAGGCATCTGAGTGCACAGAGGAATTATTTAATTAAAAGGTGAAGTTGCACTTCTTTCACTTAGGAAGCTATTTTTCCAAATTCTTCATCCATCTTTGTTTCCAGAGGATAGAAAAAAAATCTATCCTGTTAAATTTTTTATTAATTACCTTTCCCATATGTTTTGTGAACATTTATTTACTCCATCAGGCATTTTTCTGTGGGAATGATTCCTGTGCAGATGTGCATTCCTCCCACAGATATTTAGGGCCTCCTCTGTATGTGTTTCTGGTGAAGGTTATGGAATGGTGGGGTTGGGCAGGACAGTCCTGAGGTAGACAGTAAGCCAGGGAACAGGTAATAAATCACATAATTCTAGGTAGGATTACATTCTGTGAAGAAAGTAAGGAAGAAAGGATATGGAGTGGCATGTATAGGTTATAGTAGAAAAACTAAAAATGAAATTAGGTATTTAAGAAATGTATACAAACATTTTTGGAATTAGTGGCCCAGAATTAAGACAATAGAATTCCACCCTCACCAGGATAATTATAATTTTGGTAGCGTCAATCAATGCATAACATTCATCTGCATCAAACACGATTGGGGGGGATTGTTTGTTTGTGATGGGGTCCCACAATGTGGCCCAGGCTAGACTCGAACTCCTGGGCTCAAGTGATCCTCCTGCTTCAGCCTCCAGAAAAGCTATGACTATAGGCATGCAATATTATGCCTGGTTCAAAATGTTTTGTCTTGTATTTGTCCTTAGATTTAGGATAAAAAAATAACTGCCTTCATAGACTTTGAGAGAAGGCTGCTACGTATGATGTTCCCAGTTGAAACTCACGCATTCTTTTTTATTTCATCTCTTATATGTTTTAGGCATTGTGCTGGTTTCAGGGTATACAACAGTGAATAAGAAGTGATCTTGTGCCTTAAGAGCTCAGTGTGTAACTTGGGTAATTTTACTAAGTCTGTGGAAGCTGTCTAAGTCATATACTTCTTTTTTTAAAAAGCTAAGGTTGACAATTCTATAACTAATGAAGATTGTCCAGAAGTCATCTTTTTAAAACCTCTGGACCTATTTATATTAGTCCGTACTTCATTATTTCTTTCACAGAAAATATTGTGTTAGAAAATGATATAATAAAGTTGTTAAAAGAAAATTATAATTGTAACAAAGCATATAAGCTTTTAAAAGTTTGTACAAGGTTTATCTTATTTTAATACTCCATTGTCAAATAAACATTTTTCTGCAGTAATATTAATAGAATGAAACTCAGATTATCCAGGTAATCACATCATGACAAGGACACAGCACACCCTTTACTGTCAGTAAAACATTTCCATATTAATGTACCTTCTTGAGGTTGTAATTTTGTAATCAATAAATACATGATCATTGCCTGGAAATTAGTCAAAGCTCTATTATAAAGTTGCATTTTATGCTTATGTCTATATTTGATGTAATTGATGGAGAGAAAAAGTAATTGCTTTTATTTACTTACTACATTTTCAACATGTTTCTTTAACTATTAACAAATTGCAACTTTCAGTTTTCTGCCTGCTAAAAAAAATGATGGGCTGGGTGTGGTGGCACAAGCCTATAATCTGCTCTCAGGAGACTAATGCAGGAAGACTGAGTTCCAGCCCAGCCTGAGCAACTGAGTGAGACCCTGTCTCCAAATGAAAAATAAAAAGGGCCAGGGATGCAGCTCGGTGGTAGAGCACTTGACTAGCATGTACAAAGCCTTGAGTTTGATGCCCAGTACCACAAAAAAAGTGGAGAATACAACAAAATCCAGTAATTTTTGTTGAGTCTTTTTTTCTTTTCCCCTGACAAAGCTGAGCTTTATTATGAGGATAGAATTGTCTGTGTTCCTTAAGTACTTGCCAGAACTGGATTCCTGCTGTTAATTTCAAGGCATTTTTTCCTAGCATGTTTTAAATTGTTATTGGAATAAACCACTTTGCAGAACAAAAGAACATGTACATAAAACTGCAATTATGAGTCTGCTTTTCTTCTTCAAATCATACTTATGTATTTGTACATACAGGAAAATTCTAAAGGAGGAAGAAGTCAGGGCTCATAGCCAATGGCAGCAAGTAAAGTTTAAGATGTCAGGCCAGCCTCAAGGGTCAATACTGACTGACCACTTAAACTCTTCTGACAAACTATCCTGGAGTCACTAGATAAAGGAGGCCTATTAAAGATCTCCTTTGAATCAGTCCACATTGTGTGTGTAATAATGTCACATTGTACTCACATTCAATTGTAATGTGCCAATTAAAATAAAAATAAATTTAAAGTAAATGTACTCGTACCCAAATCTCTGTGTATGAGCCCCCCTCCCCACCAAAAGAAGATGCCTTTGTAAAAACAGGAAAAGAAGGATGAGAAGGAAATTTTTTTTAAAAAGAAAGAAATGACACAGAACATGAGCTCTGAATCAGGCAGATACACGTTGACATTCCAGTTCTGCCACTCACTACCTATATGACCTGCCTGTTTCCTTGTCTAGAAAATGGAAACAATATGGATTTAAAGAGGACATGTAAAAAACACTCGGCTTATTTAGCACACCGTATGCTTTCAGTAAATGCTCATCACTGGTGTTACTCTAATTTACAGACACTGATTTCCTCATCTCAGAACAGACGTGACCTGTGGGAACAAGCTGTGAAGTATCAGTTCTGTTCCTAGGTATTCCACTCCCACAGTACTGTTAGCGTAAGCAAGTCCCTTTGGGGTGGAATTTCTACCTACCGTGTGGCTGGTGTGTGGTCCTCTGACCTCCTGGCTTTTCCCTTTTATCACCCCCATGGGAAGGGAGTTAGGCAGCAGATGTGGCTGTGCCACGACTGCCACAGCTGCCAGCTTGGGTGGAGCAAACTGTGAGCTGGAGAACGGGCCACACCCACAGCATAGCTGACACCGGCCACACAAGAAACTGAGGAGCTGCTCTCTGCTCCCAGCACCCTCAAGGCCAAGAGAAGGCCCGGGAGAAGTGGTCACTGCACTCACTCCAGGCCCCAGGAATTCTGCCTTACCAGATCTCAGGGTAAACCCCTGGGTTAGCTCTCTTTAGTTTCTGCCCGTTATCCTTTAGGGAAAAGAGAAAAGCATAAGAACCAGACCGGTTTACATGAGGGAGCCCAAGCCCAGCCCTCCCATCTCACCTGTGATTTAAGTAAACCGTAATCAAATTGTGGAGGGTCTACGGGGAAGAGCAGAGGATTCAAACTCCCAGGGTCACAGTATCCGTCACAGCAGTTCCTAATGCCTAGAATTTCAAGTCTTTACACTCAGCATTTTAATTAAGAGCTTGTGCTAAGAGTCTCCTTTCTTATCTAAATAACCAAAAGGGGAAACTCATGCAAAGAGGCTGAGGAAACCCTTAGAAGTGGACATTTGTGTAGCTGTGTATACCCACGGAAATGGCCGTGATATTCATGCTATTTAATAGCTGTTTGTTCCAAGTTTTTGATCATGTTGCATTGTTGATTTTTAATTTCAAGAGTAAAACTCCTTTATCCATGGGGTCCTCAGTGACAGGTATGTCCAAACATGCCAGATGTAGGATTTGTGAGTCATCATCTAGAGTTAGCTTCAACATTACCACTCAGTTGTAAAAATGGCATTTAAACCAGGACAAATGGCGTGCCATTTTTCCACCTAACCTTTGGCATAAATTATTTGTGCCTGTAGGAATGTCATTAAAGAAATGTTTGACATGGCCATAATGTCAACCCTATAACATGTTATTATATATTGAAGTATTTTGTTATTCTTGGTATTTGTGAATTAAAGCATGAGTTAAAAGGAGGTCATAAGCAGGCATTTAAAATAAAAAAAGTTAAATCCCAAGATATATTAATCCCAAAAGCATAAAGTATAGTTGACCAAAAACTGAAGTGGGTTCTATATGTTTGATGTCTTTCAGTTACATTAAACTTTTTCAAATTTTAAAAGTATTTGGTTTTGAAAGGGAGACAACTCCATCTATTTTCTCTAATACAATGTAGCCTACATAGTGTGAAATGAGCAAGGGCAAAAGGAAAAGGCTGGAGTGGAAAAATTAGTTCAGTAATAAAACACAGAAGGCAGAGCTTTCCTAAGCAGAGAAAAGTAATTACGGACAGCAGCCAAGAGAAGGGTGAGAACCAAGGAAGGAGGAAAACCCTGAAGTTCACCAGAATATTTCGTAGAATATATTTTTCCACCTGGCTTAATCTTTTGGGAAAAAGAAACACATTAGATATTGTTGATCACATCCAGATTCTCCTCTGGATAGAAACCACTGCTCCAGACATATACTGGACTATGGATCATACTGAGTGCGTCCAGCTCAATTCATTAGAGACCAGAGTTGTTACATAGTTTAGCAAAATAATGAGTGATTGTGTACTCTTTCACTAAACATAATGCCAAAATGAGGATCACAAAAAGTTGATTTTAGTCTGTAATCCTATCTTTCAGACACAACTAAATCTAAACGCAAATGTTTTACTTTGCTTTGTTGTGTTGCTAAGTTACTTTGTATTGCATTTGGATTTCGTTATGCAGATTGATCTTTCTTCAAATTGCATTATGTATACAAATGTCAAGCTTTATAAAGACCTGTGTGCCACAAGTTAAACTCAAACTATGAAATATAAATGTTATTTTGTATTATATGAATAATAGGCTTTGCACAAAGCATCAAATAATCTTTACGAGCTGGCTGTTTAATATAGAGTCACTTTAACAGTTCAAACCTCTTATTTGTGCTATTGCTTTAAACTATGGATCTGTTCAGAATAGAAAAGTAGCAGGGCTAAGTTAAATGTAGAAAAACTAATTTGTTGATTATGTTTTGTTTGTGTTGATTGTGTTAAGTGATCTCCTGGCTCACTTAAGCTTCACTTTAAACACGGACATACATTATTACTTTATTGTTAGTAAAGCATATAAAAATCGCAAAGTTAGAAGCCAATACAGCAGCAATAATGTATATCAAGAGCCTACTGACTGTGATGATTACTAGGATTAACTGGCATATTAGTATGATTAAAATCATTTAGTGCTAATTCTGTATGGTCATTCTCCTAAATAAGATGTTCAGACTTAAAAATATGAACACTGAAGACATCTTCAAAACTGCTTCACTGAATTCTAGATTTTTTTGTCAAATAAAAATGTCAAAATTCTATAACTTTTAGTTTGGATGCTTTTTAAATGCTCCTGATTATGTACTGGTTAGTAATATATTTAGCCAGTAACAATATTAATCAAACTACTAATGCATTCTGTCGTTATGTTCAGGAGTGAAGGCTGGTGTAGAAGATAGATTACAAATGGGTAACATTCATTTTTCTTAAATTTGGAAGGTTAAAGAGATAGTTTGTATCAATATTTGTTTGTATGGTTCTGAGCTGTAACAATGAAAACCTTAAAAACAGTAGAAATGAGTCATCTCTCCATAGTAGTGTGCCACAATCTGTATACCCTGTTTTTGTTTGTTTTAGTTTTGTTTTGTTTGAGAAAGCAGAAGGCAGGGTATAATCTCAGCATAGGCAGGTGGTTAAAGTAGAGCATCTCCCATCTTGGGCCTCCAGTGGCAGCCATCACATAACCGAAGGGAATATGACTGTGCTTAGCAGAAGTTAAAAAGGTGAATCTACTTTCCATTTATTCTGCACTTCCACATGGAGTATTTTGTTTAAGGAATTCGAAGTGTTTGCCAAGAGCTCGGCATGAGCGAATCTGTGTCATATGGCCTGAGCTTCAGATAAAATTAATCTAATTTAGGCCAGGGATTTAGCTCAGTGGTTTTGCCGCCTGCTGCGCAAGCGCGAGGGCCTGAGTTCAATCCCTGGTACAAAAAAAAAAAAAAAAAAAAAAAAAAATTTAATCTAATTTAGAAATAATTCTCTTACATAATGTTGTATTTATTTTTCCTTGGAAAGTTCAGAGACATTGATATTTTTAAATGTGATCTCAACGGTAAATATTGTTAATGCTGGTGACCATTAGCTATCTAGTATAAGTCTAGTATAAGATTAAATTGATTTCTTTGGTACCACCTCTATCTGGTAACTCGAAATTCTTCTCTGCTCTGCATAACTTTCCTGTAAAATCCCCTTTTCTGAGTCTAGCCATAAAGAAATCTGAGCTTCGGGAGACCTGGAAAGTGCCCCTGACTGAATTCCTGCCCTTTATTAAGTCCTGCTATGCGGTGTTTTGATACGATGTCCTACTATGTTCCCTCTACCTGTCCTCACCTCCTATTACCTCAACCAACTCTCAGTTGGGAAAAAGTTTTTCAAAACACACTCCAAAGTAGTGTTCTCATCCACACTTCTTCTACCTTGGTCACCTGCAATGAAAATAGAAGCCAATCACAGAATTTTATTTTGAATTAAGTGCATACAAGGGCTGTTCATCAATCCTGAATTCATAAAGTCTAATCATTACTTGTATATCTGCTCATTTTTCCTCTTTTTATGTTACTTTTTGGCCAGCATTAGAATTTAGAAGTACATCTTCTCATCCTCTTGGAAGAGAAGATGAAAAATGGAGAAAATCTGTTTTGCTACTTCGGTAGTAATAGTGAAGAAAAAAATTAAAATAAGGAGCTGAAACAAAAAGCCAGAGCAAGGATGGGTGTCTTGTCCATGTCATTTGGGTTCCCTAAGTATTGTTTGTCTGTTCATACTGGCAAATTTTGAATAGGTAAATTTAAGAGTAACTTCATTAGCTAGACCCTTGCCACATGACCACATATTTTAGTATTTAACTGCTTCTGGTTTTTAAATTTCACATATGTTCATTTCATGAGAACATGGTGTCATTTAGTCGTGATGTTCCCTTTGTCATCCCATGTATACATTTCTTACATAATGCTAATTTTGTCACGCAGGGATCCCTTAATATACTGGGGAAGGGATATCACTAACATTTAATAAATATATTACTAAAAACATCTAACAGAAAATTAAAATCACCTAGTTTTGATTCAGAATTGACTAAATGCTCCTGATTATATACTGGTTAGTAATATATTTAGCCAGTAACATAATATTAATCAAACTAATCATGCCTAATAGTTGACTTTGGAAATAGAATCATCACAAGAGAATTGTCCTCCTGCTATATTTTACAAATCAACCTCATACTGTAGGAGACCTTAGCAGACTGCAATTAACTCAATGAGAAGTATCATTTTAAGTACCATCCTAAATAGAACAGGACAGCTCATTTCTCTCATTCAGAGAAAGATGTTTTCACCTGACTTCTTTAAGTAAATACAGTTTTACTGAGAAAATTAACTCTGAGAAGCTCTTCTCTGAGAAGGGTGGATTTTATTACTAATGGTACACTGATTTGTTATGAAAGTCTTACAGAGTAGGAAAACAGACGCGATGGTGCTTATCAGTTCTGCACAGCAAGTAATTTCTTTTTCTAATATCTCTGACAGGGCCGTGTCAGTTGTACTGGACGGCTAATGGTACAGGCTGTCAACCAAAGAGGTCGCAGTCCACGCTCTCCCTCAGGCCATCCGCATGTCAGAAGGTATTTCAGATGTTCCTTCCATAAATGTTACTACTTATTTACTTATCACTATAAATTCACTGCTACTAGATTCATAGTATGATCATAAATATAAACATAAGTCGAAGACAGTATAAATACAAACTTTAAAGTGTGTGTTCTTTACCTATCCCCTTTGCGGTTTAGAAAATGCAAGGGAACGGACATTTGCTAATATGTAATATGTGCTGAGCCCGTTCAGATGTATTATCTAGTTTAAGTAAAACACATTTGACATACAAAAAAATCAAGACTTGGCACCTTTAGATGGCACATGAACATGATAACACTAGTAAATGGTACACAAATATTCAAAATCATACTTCTCTAACCAACAGACCGTTACAACTATTGCCACTAGATTCCTTAAAATCAGCTAGTTTGTTAATGTATACTTTCAAGTCACATAGTTCAGAACATAAGACCATTAGACCATAAATCTTGTAGGTAAGAGTTTTTGCATCTTAAATGCTCAAACTAGTATCTACTAACTGTAGAGTGTTTCCTTTCCTAGTAGCCAAAAGTCTATGAAAGAGTGATGACAGAATAATGGCAGGCAGGGAGAGAGGATGTTATGTCTTAGTAACATATTTGCACTTCAAAAAAAAAAAAGAATATGAAACCAGTCTGTCAACCTGGGTTCCTATTTAGGTATTTTACAGACAGTGCACCCTGAAATAGTCCTGATTGTTACCTACAGGCCACAGATGCACACTGCCTTTATTGAAGAGAAACACGGGCTCATAGAGGATAAACATAAAAATTGAGTAAGCATTAAACAGTGTGTCTGTACTACCTCATGTGACTAGATCCGAAGAGGCCCTAGGATGACAGGCACCTGAGTGTGTGCAGATTTAATTCTAAACGTATTGTGGCAATATCTGTTCACTAGATCCTAGACCTCTATCCCTGGCTATAAACACAGCATATTTAGTGTTAGCTCCATTGTCTTGCATTAGTCTTTTCTACTTTTCCTATGGTCTTCACTACATTTACGCTTTTCCGTATGTCAGTGAGTCCTACAATGCATTTTTGTCATAATCTAGACCTGCATTTGGAGAAAAGTAAACTATATTAAAACTCTGATAATTATTAAATATACCAATCTTTTATTTGTTCCATTTGTTCTCGTTAAGTGTCTTTAAATCTGTCTCCTGATGATTACTGACACAATTTGTATTCAACATTTTACTCATTTCTTCAGTCTTCCCTGCTGTTACATTAAATTGGATTCCTCGGGCAGCATGCTTAAAAATAAAAGAAATGCACAAAATCTGAGAGATTTCTACAATCTTATTTTAAAGCAAAAAACAATGCCTTTAAGCATGTGGATAACTAATGCAAAAAGAAACTTGCCTAAAAATGTAATTTGTTTTATTATGAAAATAAATTTTGTTCAAAATACATTAAATTTTTATAAAATAAAACTACCTCCCTACATAATTAAAATTGCAGTGGAAAGTTAATAGTAATTTCTCTTAAAAAATAATTGGTGATAAACAAATGAGCAAAAAGCTGGTTCTACTTCTGAAATAAGGCTTTAATATATTTAGGAAAAAACTATACTTATATATAGTAAACCTCCCTGTTCCATTTCCCCCTTTGTGATTTATATTAGTTTGCACTTAGCAGACTACTATATTTATCATACACTTCGAAATTAAACAAGAGTTTGCTTTTCTGATTTTTTTGTGTAAACCTTGGGGGCAGGTATCTGATAAGGAAATTGTATTTATTACCCCCTTGACTAAAAGCCTGGAAGTGACTACTGCCTGTCTGTATTTTCATCTACCTATCATGTCCTGTTTCAAGGCCTCGCTCTAGGTCAAGGGACAGTGCAGATGAAAATGAACCGATTCAAGAGCGATTCTTCAGACCTCACTTCTTGCAGGCTCCTGGAGACCTGACTGTCCAAGAAGGAAAACTCTGCAGGATGGACTGCAAAGTAAGAGTTATTACTGCCTGCAAAATTATTGCCTCACCTCTCCCCTCATGCCATTTCACTATATATCCTTTTGGGGAAATTATATGTAAAATAGATGATTCCAGCTCAGCAGAGAAAAGTATGCTATTTTTCATCATGCTTTTTTTTTTTTTACTATTAAATATGTTTTTATTCCAAATCCTCCATATTCGTACTCTAGAAAGTCATTTGTAATGTTTCAGTTTGTTGAGTGTGATGAATCTCCCTATGTCCTAATCAGTAGGCAGTCTTTATTCTTTTTACATACAAGTGCTGCATCTATAAGTGACATCTGTCTTTTCCCTTTTTTACCATAGGGCTCCTTAACTTAGTGTCTTTGGGTATGCAGGCTCTGTTAGGCATGTGGACATTGAAATTATATACAAAATTTTATGTGAGTTCAACAGTTTCTCAGAGAAATTGGAGATAAAAAAATGTTTGTGGAGTATTGCTCTGAAGGGGGTTTTTTGCTTGTTTTTCTGTGTGTTCTTTTGTTTGTTTTTTGCCCTATTACTGATTTTAAAGTTTAGCTCTTAAATATGAAGTTTTAAAAAATAATTTGGGCTCCCTCTGCTGGTTCTCTCTGGGATTGCAGAAGACAAATCCACATAGAGAGGATGTAGGCATTTGCTTTTTCAAAAAGTAAATCTGCGGTTCTAGGAACATATAGAAAGTATTCTTTAAAATATTTTATTTTCAAACATAGTTCATTTTGCAATATAAATAACAAGTTGAGCTTCAGTTAGGTATTTACTTCTTTGTTTAGCCTCTAATTAAAAATTCATTCATGAGAACTACCATGTATAATCCAGAAACCCCACTGCTAGGTATTAATCCAAAGGAACTGAAATCAGTGTGGCAGAGATATCTACACTCCTTGTTCCTAGCAACATTATTCAAATAACATAGGTGTCCACCAACATATGAATGGATAAAGAAAATATATGTACAGTGGAATACTATTTTGCCTTTAGAAAGATATCCAGTCATTTGTGACAACATGGATGACACTGGAAGACATTATGTTAAATGAAATAACCTAGGCATACAAAGGCAAATACTGCATGATGTCACTTTAGAAAATTGAACTCATAAAATCAGAGAATAGAATGGTAGTTACCGAGGGCTAAAGGGAAGGGACCCGGGAAGATGTTCATCAAAGAATATGAAAATTCAGTTAAACAGGAGGAAGAAGTTCAAGAGATTTCTTGTATAATATGATAGTACAGTTAATAACTATATATCTGAAAGCCGCTAAGAGAGCAGATTTGTGTTCTTACCACAAAAATTATAAGCATGCGAGGTAATACATGTGTTAATTAGCTCAATTTGTCCTTTCTGTAATGTATACAAATTTCAAAACATCATGTTGTACAAAATATAAATAACATCAGTCACTTAATTTTTGAAAAATAAATTTTAAAAACATTTAAATAAAGACCATTCATAAACACCATTTACAACTGGGCAACATTTTTATTTTAGATAGATTAGTTGATGATACCAAGATTATTATTAATTTCACATATAAAAATGGAATTGTGATTATGCAAGAAAATCAATATTTTTTGAACTACTACAGAAAGTCTTGGATTTATTTCAAAATAAAAAACTACGGAGCTGTGGGTTTAGCTCAGGCTGTGGAATGCATGCCCAGTATGCATGATGCTCTGGGTTCAACCCCCCCCAGTACCACCAAAAAAAAGTAAACATTTAAAATAAAAATTATGATAGTGGATCTAAATGATAGATGTAAAGAGATTGGCCATACTGTTATATCTATTTTTGATCATATTTAAGACAGAAATCATAATAATTTATTTCAATGCACAAAGACGTAAATGTTCTTCAACACCCTGCCTTTAAAAAAGTACTGGGAACTGGGGCCAGGATTTAGCTCTGGTTCTGCTGTCTGCCTCGCAAGCACAGGTTCGATCCCTGGTACCAAAAACAAAAAACAAAAAGTACTGGGAACAAAAGTAATCTCTACTTGATTTCACTATGATAAAGAAAATGTGAACATCTTGCCACACGAACAGGTAGGCTGCTCCCTGCTTCAGAGAAAAAGTTCCCAATATATTTAATCTTTGAGAAAGAAAAGTCTTGAAGCAACAGCTTTTTCCTCAAAAAGTATCCTCCCCACCCCCCAGCCCATGAGTAAATTCCCAGACACTGTTTTTCACTTGGTACTAAGTCTTAGGGACTTTACTCCTCTAGTAAAAAATGCGTTCTTTTCTTCCCTACTTGTGTGTGTACCAGAAGCACAGATGTGTTCAAATTGTGACTAGCTTTTAACGCCCTTCAGCTCCTAAGATCATGCTTTCTGTACTTATTCACCACCATTTTCCTTTGCTGAAGATGAGTAGCTTTACCCACTTGGACAGATCCATGGTGGATTGGGTGGTTTGAGAGTACCCAGTTTTGGGGCAACTCACCTACTACATGAAGCTATGGCCTCAGTCAGGAGACAGACGTCCCTCCGTATCCAGGATCTAACCTAGCTGAGTGGGAATAATCATTGCTGCTTTATTTCTAAACTTGGGAGAGACCTGTAGCATAGCCCAGATATCTGTTCCATCTTCCTCTGTACCACTTCTGATGACAGGAGGCCTGGGGATGGCAAGTGGACAAAAAGGGTAACACAGAGCCTAGGCACCTAGCAAACCACACTGCCCACATGCTACTTGTTTCCAAATTCTCTTCATCCTCTTAACCCATTATTTAAGTGTACTTTTTTCTATTCTGTACACTTTGCTATGTGTGTGAGAGGCATCTTGTAGTTAATAAAAGGGAATAAATATCATACAACAGCATGGAATTTGTAAGTTCTCAGGCTGATTTGGGCAAAGCTGGTCCTTGAAAGGAATTGTTTTGTAGTCTCATAGACATCTTTGTGTATAATTTCCCACCAGTAAAACTGTAGGAAGAAGAGGTAAAAAGACCTTATCAGGGTTTTCCTCCTATTCAGAAATCAAAAGGAACACTGTAAAAAGCTGGCAGATGGCAACCATCCCTAGCCTTCATAGTATAATGTGTAATTTGCAATTAAATGTGCTTTTATCTGTTATCTGGACAGCACAACTGTCATGCTCTCAAGATTTTATGATGTTTCAATTGTGATGCTAATTTGTTGAGATGGCTTTCTGGGCAATTTTGTATTGCTATTGTTATTCACTTTCAAGGATTATAAAATAATAATAGCTCTGTGTGCTGATGGATGCATTAACTAATGTCTCCATAGCAATGGCCACTCCTTGAAGAGAGGCTTTACAGTACATAAATGCAGCTGAGTGTTATTGTTATTATGGTTGAACATTTTTTTCCAAATTGCTGAGAGGTTGGTGCTGACATCCCAGGAATTTTTATAGTCCTGGGTGAGGTGAAGGGATGACAGAAATATTTTGAATCCCCGTTTCACTTGTCCTTAGGTTGTTCTGTATGATATGTTCCAAAGTGAACCTGCGAGTGCTGAGGAAACCATGGGATGGTTTTGAACAAAAGAGTAACATGAGCTGATTCTAAAAACTATCTCTTGTGCCACCAGAGGAGGAATTTATGCTGGTTTCTTAGCAATCGGTGATTTCTCTTGATTTTAACAGAGAATTTTATATATATTTCCTTTCTGGTTTAGGTCAGTGGGTTACCAACCCCAGATCTAAGCTGGCAACTAGATGGAAAGCCAATACGCCCCGACAGTGCTCACAAGATGCTCGTCCGTGAAAATGGGGTGCACTCTCTGATCATAGAGCCAGTCATGTCCCGGGACGCTGGCATCTACACGTGTATAGCCACCAACCGAGCCGGACAGAACTCTTTCAGCCTGGAGCTTGTGGTTGCTGGTAGGCTCCTTAGTGAATCCTTTCTCTCTGCCTCAGTGAATGTCAGGTTACATGTGTAAACTAACTGTGCATTATTTAATTAATATGGAAAATAAATCACTGCTGACAAAACAGATTAGATCATCAAAATCGCCAATGAGGACAAATTATAAGGCTTAGCAAATCAGAAGTATTAATTTTTCTTATTTCAGTGTAGCCACTCTATTTATCCTTCCTTTCTCCGACTAACCCTCAGGAAAGGACTTTAGCAGCTTTTTCAGGTTCTGTGGATTCTAATGTATGTGATGGCCCTCAGTATTTACAGGGAAATATAACAGCAGCATACCTCTAATTACTACACAACGTGCTTATACAGAAAGTTCACTTGCAGACCTAGTTTTTAACAGAATGTGCAATGGTTTCACAATTCAGAATTTTAAAACATTGTCATCTATACCCACTGTCATACTCAAATTCAGATATGCTTTTTAATTGATTCCACTGTAGGTAAATGTTGTAAGTCATTTTTATCAGCGGTGTTGTACAGTCTTATTCTTTGAGAAGTCTAAAAGGAAAATACATTCATGGAAAGATTTATACCATCCTTAAGAGTTAGACATTAGTAGAAATTCTGATTATCTGCTCTCTTTTTTAAAGGAGTATAACAAAATGTTTATTTCTTATGCCTCTATTTATTACAGTGTTTCCTATACATTATCTCACGGTCACAAGTTCCCTATGACATAAACAGAGCAAATCTCTGACTTTCCCAAGGTCTCATTTCATAAGCTGAGGATTAGATTCAGAACATTCTGTTGGCCCTTCGTGCTCTTCCCAATGTGCTGTGAGCCACTGAACTTTTCTAAGAAATAGAGTGGCACTAAAAATAAAACCCAGAAGGTCCTGGCTGAAATCCTGGATGACGATTCTCAGAATGGCACCACGGTATTTTTTCACACAAAAATATGTAAATATGTGGGCTGTGGTGCGAGTTCAGCCACGCTTTTAAATTATGTGCAAAGCACTCTATATTCTTACACACTAGGACTGGTTTCATTCATTCTTCTAATCTCAGACTATTTTGAGTATATTAAATGTACATTTTGATCATATGTCCTTCATGGCGGAGACTTGAGGGTCCAAGAGACACAGACATCTCAGCCTGCTTCAGCACTTGTCAGAAGATGGCAGTGCATGCTAATAGGAACCAAGGTCTCTGGTAACAGTTCCAATCCCAGGTCATGTCTACTTTACTGTCAGTACAACCCTTACCAGATAAACCTCAGCATCTCAATTTCTCCATATGAAAATGGGGACCATAATGCATCACAGCATTTTTATTAAAAATTCAGTCATAAAAATTATATGATGTCCAGCATAACCAGAACCTTGCATAACAATGCTCCAAAATGATACATTGTATTCTTAATGGCAAGCTGTTATGATAAGGCTTATACTTTAAGTTCTTTTCAAAACTGAGACCCACAAAGAATATGAAGTGACCTTCTGTCCTCACTTTCCCCCCAAATAGCCTAGGTCAGGTAATCATGTAAAATTCAACACAAATATAACCCTCTACATTAATTATTCAAGGTCTTAGAGAGTCCTTTAGGCATCTAAAAATTTCAGGTAGAATTTTTATCCTTTCTCCTAGCTGCTTTATTGTGATATTTGTGTCAGTACAGATGAGTCAGTAGGTGGTAGAGAAAGACATGTGTTCTCAAATTCATTGTTGGTAGCTCAGAAGAAAATAATTAAACCTTATTCTCTAAAATTGTTTCTACCACCAACCCAAGAAAAGTTTTCACTGGATGGTAATATTCAGTGTTTAAAAAATCAGTTCTAAACAGTAGTTTTCTTATTGGCTTCTTCCTATAAGGTAAAAATAAAGCTGCCTTTTTATAGCTCCCTTCAAATACAATAGGAAGTAGGAAGATATTTCTCTGGCAAATGGGAAGGGACTAAGAGATGTTGGGAGGGGGAAGATAGGGAAGGGAAGGGAATATAAAAGAATTAATGTGTCATGTACATGTAGCAGCTACCCACAATGAATGTACTCACTATGTACTGCAAACACGTACTAATAAAAAAAAAGAATACAAATTAGAATCTTCAACTTATAGGATTTACATTCCTAGTTTACAGGTGACTAAATTTAATGAAGTTTAAAGCTGTCAAACTTAGATGAAGATGCTTCTTCTGTATTTCTCCCCCCTTTAAATCCTGTTTTATGTCTTACTTAAGCCAGGGGTTTTAAACCTTCAAAATCTTTAAAACAAGCATTGCTCATTGCAGTGAGGGAATCTAAGCGGATCAAATTCCTAGAAATACTTGTCCTTCTCGGCATCACTAGATGGCGGTAGTGGGTGAGGACTGCGAGTACATGGTAATATAATTAGTAGAGAAGCCATCACAGATATTAGCAAGGACTTCAGAGTCTCCCGCAGCCTGTCAGACAGGCCTTCTGTGCAGCAGATGGCCAGCGGACCATGTGGGCCAATCAGACTTGAATTAATTGAGGAAATAAATGAATGGAATGAGCCATATGAACCTTTGCTTGGTAATAGAATAATTTGGAGAGGAATCTAGCTTCTTACCACCTGAAGTGAAGAAGGGTATTATAAAAGAACTATTCAAGCAATATTTCTAAAGCCTTCTGAATTCCTTTTATACGGCACTGACAGATGATATCCTTTTGTATATCATTGGTAAATAATTCATCTTATGTTTTCTCAGCTAAGGAAGCACACAAACCCCCTGTGTTCATTGAGAAGCTCCAAAACACAGGCGTTGCTGATGGGTACCCAGTGCGCCTGGAATGCCGTGTCTCGGGAGTACCACCGCCTCAGATATTCTGGAAGAAAGAAAATGAGTCACTCACACACAGCACTGACCGAGTGAGGTAAGCTTACATAATGACTTAACTTCATCCAAAACTACTCAGTCCCAAGGATATGTAAAAAAAGACACATTTTATGTGGTGTGTAAATCAGTGTGCCTAAAAGCCAGGCTACTGAGGCTATCAAAGATAAAAATCACTTGTGACCCAAATACAGGTTTGAGTTTAGAAAGACACTACATTGGTATGTAATGAAGCACATCCTGACTTAACTTAGCAATGACTTTGAAATGTTCACATCAAAAAGAAAAGATGAATTCATGTGCCTCCGTGGTGATGGACTATTCAGTGGTTTTTTGAGGCAGATCAACTAGAAATTAAGAGCCCAGATTTATTCAACCTCTTGAGGTCTGCTCTTCTCCCCCATTAACTTTAATGGAGCTAGCAGCCTCTCCAGAATAAATATGACCCTATTATCTGCTACTTGCACAATTCTGTTTCTAATGACCTAATTAAAAATGATGTTTCATGTCCAAAGCCATGTTTTAAAAATTTAGAGCCCTAATGACTTTATCCTTTTCTCCAGCATGCACCAGGATAACCATGGCTATATCTGCCTGCTTATTCAGGGAGCTACAAAAGAAGATGCTGGATGGTACACTGTGTCAGCCAAGAATGAAGCAGGGATTGTGTCCTGTACTGCCAGGCTGGATGTTTACAGTGAGTGCCATCTCCTCACATTTACTCGCTGAATTATGAAAAATTAGACATCTCAATAGCAAATCACATTACTCTTATCTAATCTTATAAACGATAGCATTTTATTTACCAAAAAACTCATGTTCTTTTTCTCTTTCTATTTATAGTTTCTCGACATTAATAGTGAAACTCCACCAGGAGAACAAATAGCCAAGTATCATTCAGGAGCTCCTAATTCTTAGCAAGATATGCATGTTGATTCTCTTACATTGGCTAGTCATTTGTGGCTTCCTTACTCAAGCATCCTTGGGAGTTAACAGTAGACAGAGGCATAAATGTTTTTCACATTTTCTTATCACTGTGTTCTGCAAATGACTATCTTTTAACATTTCTTATTATATTACAATCCTGTCATAGTATCCTATTGCACTTTGAGTGTGTGTACTGTTGATACTAGAATGTGTATCTTTGTGGCTTGCTGCTTTTCTCATTAATGTATCTTAAGCATCTCAGCAAGAGATTTGTGTTTGTGTATGTATATTTTTGTCCATTCATCCTATTTTTTAATGTTCCTACTGAATTTCTAAACTAGTAAAGTAGCATTATCTGATCCATTGACATAGGAAAATCTACTACAAAATGATTAAGAACAGATTTCAAATTTTACCTCTTTCTGAAGAAATGATATCTTTGAGAGGTTCTTCAGTAATGAACAGCCTCAACCCTCCCTACTGCCCAATTCTTTTCAATTTATTAATGCTAAAACATCCATCCAGAATTCCTAGCTACTATAATTACTGAAGAAAAAAATGTTTTTAAAAGAGAATTAGGAAGCTTATCAGCTATTTCAAAAGATTCACAGTGCTGCATGCAATATGGCTTTAAAGATGAACAACAGTTGATCTTTATTACCCCACTCTTGACAATCCCACTACCCTGTAGACAGTAAATCTGTAACATGAGTAAAATGCAAAAGTAGCCCTAAATTTTCTGTCTATACCATGGATGTCTTCAGCCCTTCATAAAGAATATGTACCTGGTATCTATCAAAAGACAGTCTGTGTTTACTTAAAACATCTAGGGATTTCCAAGTATATGTTGTTAACAATCTTAAATTACTCTCTTTCCTTTGCAGCCCAGTGGCATCAGCAACCACAGACCACCAAGCCAAAGAAAGTGCGGCCCTCAGCCAGTCGCTATGCAGCACTTTCGGACCAGGGACTAGACATCAAAGCAGCGTTCCAACCAGAAGCAAACCCGTCTCACCTGGCACTGAATACAGGCTTGGTAGAAAGCGAGGACTTGTAATCCAGTATTCTTGTTAAAGCTGGAACACCGAAACAACCATTGCCTTGACCAACAAATTTCTCTGTCACATTATGTAAAAGGCAGAAATATACTTTGACTTATAAGAAATAAAAACCACCAAAATAATATTTTTCTTACTTGTTATACCAAACTTAGAGTTTAAGTAGGTGATGCTTATAGAGATGTACACATTGCACACAATTTACATTTATTGTCCAATTTAAAACTTTTGGAATTGCTGTGATTAAAGTGGTCTGAAATGCCAAAAGGTTAAAGGAAATCAATGGTAACTACAATTTACATTAATTACAAGTGCCTTTAAACACAAGCTATAGGTGCTATGTAGCACAACAGTATGAAATGTTTAATATGATACTACTAGGATTCTAAAGTGCAGTGTATTCAGACAGCTACAATGAATCAAGTGCAATATTTAAGGATGAAAAAGGAAGAGAAAATGAAAAAGAAATCCAAGTAAATGCCTTGTCTTTGCAAATTGTTTTATATTAAATCATAAGGAAATACTTGCCTTAAATCTTATTAATATCAAGTTTTCTAACAAGGGTAATACCTTAGTTCTTAATCTTTTTTTTTGTGCATATTTTCTTTTCACGCTGCCTTGATAGGAAGCTTATTTACAAACCATATTAAAAGGCTAATTTAAATATAAATAATATAAAGTTTTCCAAATAAAGCAGAAATATATTACAGTCCATTCCACAAAAGCTAACCAAACCTCCCAGATGACCAAGGTATACAGTATTTGGAGGAAATAGGTTTGGAATGAGTAGGGAGGAGAATGAAGGAAAACTCTACCAGCACAATTATATTGTATTCATTTAGATAAAAGTAGAAAGGGCAGGAGAGGTGGCAAAGACCAGGATTTTCTTTGGTTTTCTTGAAAATTAATCTTAAAATGTAGGTTGAAAAAAAACACTGCCATTTAGAAGTCAAGAAATCTAAGGTCAGCTAGAAGTGTGGAACACATGTGCTATGGAGATTTCAGTGTATCTGGAGTTTGTGTGGTATCTGAAGATTTTAGATGTGTAGAGCAAGTTGAAAATGGGTAGAGACTGCAAGAGTGGCATAAATGAGAGACTGCCTGTAGGAGCTAGTCTACTTGAGAGAAATAGTCTTGAAGAGAGGCAAAAACAGGTCTGTGCTATAATGTATTTTTTCCATTGGCACTAAGATACAGAGAGTGGGAAAGAGTTCACTTCCCTACTGCCATGAAACATTGTCTTAAGAAGGTGCTAGGTTCTGAGTAGTTTCTAAGGCATCTCTGCAAAGACCACTTTTTGAATGCATATGATTCTGCATGAGCTAGAATGAAATGATTCTGACCAGACTTGATGGTTTTAAGTCGGAACCAATAAAATTTTTCAGTGAGAAAAAATAATTTGGCCTAATAGTAGAAAACATGAGGCTTTAATGGTACTTTACTATGAAAAGAAAACACTGTATCCCTTATGCAAAACACGTATCTTTCATTATTTATAATAAAAGTGTTGAACTTTCTTAGCTCAGTTACTCGATTCATACATAGTATTTTAAAAATTTTATATCTGTATACCACCCCATGTATTTCATATTACTGCTTCACATGTACAGCTTTCTACTTCTTCATAAGGACACCAAGTTTTAAATGATTAATGACAACGGGTGGCAGATGTTCTATGCAGTGTGGTGTAGGTTTCTTTGACCACACTTACATGCATTGCTAATGTGGAGTTGAAAAGAACATCCAGTCTCATGTAGTGTAGAATTATGGCTTATGTCATAGCTAACTTGCCAAATTTTTCTGAATGTGACTTTTTTTGCTAATTTGCTGGGTTGGGGATTAACTAGCATTATTTTGCCACCTTTTATGTTGTATTTATAAAAAAAAGTACTATCATACTACTTTGGATTGTTGTGCTGGTGTAATATGGATTTAACATCAATAAATATTTAACAAATAATAGTTGTAATTTTGTGAAGCAAAACATTCAGTTGTTTTAGTTTTTATTACTCATGTAATAAATTAGCAAAAACTTAGAGGTTTCAGATAACACTTTTAGAGTTCTGTGTGTCAGAAGTTTGGGCATGACATGGCGAGGTTCTCTACTTATAATACTGAAGTCACTATGTCAGCTGGGCTCCATTCTTTGGGGGGTTTTTTGGTTTTGTTTTGTTTTTTGGTACCAGAGATCAAACTCGGGACCTTGCACATGTGAAGCAGGGGTGGTGCCACTGAGCTAAATCCTCAGCCCTGGGCTCCATTCTTGGTGGGAACTCAAGATTCTCCTTTAAGCTTGTGGTTGTGACAAAATTTAGTTCCTTGCTGCTATAGAATAGCATTTGTTGGCGGCCTCATTTGGTGCTCTGAGCTCTTAGGAACCACTTGTTCCTTGTCATGTAGCACGCTCCATCTTCACAGCCAGCAATGAGAATCTCCCTCAAGGCAGACCCCTCTCACTTTGACTCTCTTTTGTCAAAGGCTCAATCCCTTTTCAAGACATACCCCATGGGGGCTGGGGATTTAGCTCAGTGGTTTCGCCGCCTGCTGTGCAAGCGCAAGGACCCAAGTTCGATCCCTAGTACCAAAAAAAAAAAAAAAAAAGAAATACCCCATTAAGTCAGGCACACTCAGATTATCTCCCTCCTCTAAAGTCACCCAATTTGGGACCTTATTTGTGTCCTTCAAAGTATCACCTGGATTCATGTTTGGTTAACTAAGAAAAGGTGTTCAATAGTGATGTGCATATTGAGTGCCATCTTAGAATTTTGCTTACCACATCAGTTTATCATATGTAAACACGTAAATACAAGTATTTATCAAAGATGTGGCTTACAAGGGTACATAATATACACAAGAAGATATAAATTAAAAATGAATAAAGAAAATGATAATAGCATTAACAGAACAAGGAGTTCAGCTATACACGTGCATAATTTCTAGATAATTACAACAGATGGCCAATACATTTGCCCCTACAATTTCCTGCTACAGGAAAAATAATAGGAAGCATAAGGGATAAAAAAAAGCTGGTCACTTACATAATTCACAGCCTCCATAAAATGAAAACGTTTGCTCTTTTACATAGCTATATGATGAACTTGGAGGATACATTTGAATTAGACCAGAATTGTGCATTTCACACTGTCTCCTATATTCTATGTATGACTTCTTCCTCGCTATGAAGTTTACAAGATCCATTATATATTTAATGCTAAACTTATCCTTGATTTTCCCTTCTATGGACATAAATAAAATATAATAATCACCTTGGCTTACTCAGTAGCTAGATGCTAATATAATGAAAAGTTTGATTCCTTTAAATTATGGAAATATGAATTCTGTAGTATAGTGATGAAGAACCAAATCTTGGAGTTGGACAACTAGGATTTGGATCTTAGCTCCTGACCATATGTGGTCTATGTGAGTCACGAGTAAGTTGTTTCACCTCCCTAGCCAAGTTGTCTTATTTGAAAATGGAGGTTGCTGTGAAGATTACAGGAGATAACAATGTATACAAAACCTAACTTGGTACCTGGAGCTAAGAGCGTAATAAATGTCAGCATATTATTTTAATACAGTTTGAAAACTAAAATAGTTGGTAAACTTATGTCAGTTATAAAATGTACACAACCAATAAAACTGGATGAATGGTAAAATTTGTGAACCTAGATGGAAACAATTTCCCTCACTTATGAAGCATCAAAACATGATGGTACAGAAGTACCTTCAGCTGTCAGAGTAGAAATCATAAATATTCCAAATATCACAAAATACCATTTATACTCTGCACTGCTTTAAATTTATGGCAGTTATTAAAGTTACCAATAGATGTTGTGATTTGGAAACGTGTATTATGTCATAAATCTGGATTTTTAGAATACTTTGATAATTAAGATAAATTGTTTCTTATATATGTGTTTAACATTTTCAGAAGGGATCCGTATGATTCATACAGTGTCAAGAGAGTATATGATATGAAATATTAAGAACCATGCCCACAGAAATTCTAATATGTAGAAAAGGATAATGGGAAGAATATCCACTTAAGCACTATATATGAAAAATTTTAGAAAAACCTTAATTATTCATTCATAGGAGAAGAAATAAACTATGACTTTCTCATACAATGGAACATTACTATTCAGAGATAAAGAACTGTATTTACATCTGTGAATATGGATAAATATAAATATTTGGTGACAAAAGGAAGTTACAAAAGGATACATATAGAATGGGTTTATTTACGTAAGCCAGTTATACCAATTTTAAAAATATACATGGAAATAACATCATTTTCAGAAAGTGGTTTCTCTGGAATGGATGAAGAATAAAAGGGTCTGCAGAAAAGCCTATAATATGGGGATCTGAAATGAATAGACACTTCTCAGATGAAGAAGTACAAATGGCAAATAAATGTATGAAAAAATGTTCAACATCACTTGTCATCCAAGAGATGCAAATTAAAACAACCCCGAGATTCCATCTCTTTGCAGAAAGAATGGCTGCTATCAAGAAATCAACCAACAACAAATGCTGGTGGGGCTGTGGGGAAAAAGGAATCCTCCACTGTTGGTGGGAGTGCAGACTGGTATAACCACTGTGGAAATCAGTGTGGAGATGCCTCAAAAAACTAGGATTAGAGGTCCCATTTGACCCAGCTATTCCCCTTCTGGGTATCTTCCCAAAAGAATTAGAAGCATCATACCACAGTGACATATGTGCACCCATGTTTATAGCAACAGAGTTTATAATAGCTAAATTTTGAAAACAACCCAAATGCTCATCAACCAATGAATAAAAAGGATATGGGGTTTTTGGGGGGTTTGTTTTTTTTTTTACAATGGAGTACTACTCAGCTATAAAGGATAAACCTGAGACATTTATGGCTAAATGGGTGCACCTTGAGACTTTACTCCTAAGGCAAATAAATCGGGCATACGTCTCATTGTCTCTGTGGTGTGAGAAAGTGAATGGGTATATAAGGACCAAAATGTATAATACATAATGTGAAATAGGAAGAAATTGTTCAAAAGGAAAAGGGAACTGGGAAGGGGGGAGGAGGAAAAGAAAAAAATGAGAAAAGAAGGATAAAATGGAAACAAAGCTTTGTAAATAAGAAGGAGGGTGTTAAAGAGAGGGGAGGGGATTGAAAGAAAAAGAGGAATCAAAATATATCATGTACAGGTACAAATTCCCTATGATGAATATGATTGTTATGTATATTTAAATTGTACCAATAAAATTAGTTTTTTTTTAAAAAGCCCATAGTGTGGGCGGGGTACATAGAGGTAGAGCAGTTGCCTATCGTGTGCAAGGTTCGATCTTCAGCACGTCAATACCATGAAAAGAAAAAAAAAGCCTGTATTAAAAAAGGAGTTATATGAAATATGGAAAAAATGTTAACACCTATCAATATGGATAAGTGCAAATATTTTCAATATATTTTCTCCATATCTGAAATATTTCATGAAAATTTTTTTAGTATTTAAAAATTTAAATGCAGTGATACTTTGGTTCATGAATTTAATTTTTCCTATGATTTTAGAAAAGATAGCCACATTTGTATTTGGTGGGAAAGATGGCCGTAGTCATGTTCATCATCCGATGCAGAGTTTGCAAACAAAAACAAAATTTTGCCCAATGCTTCTGTTTGCGAATCAAACTGTTTTCAAACAAAAGTGTTTGTGAACCAAGGTACCACTATGATTAGTTGAAGGTTTATGCTACGAAGCAAGTGCAAGTCATTTAAAAATGATTAAGTATAGGGAAGGGTGGAGGAATGAAGGGCACACAGATAATGGGGAAAAAATAAGAACTAAGATACATCATGTACAGGTACAAGCACCCAATGATAAATGTAAACATATTGTATACCTAAAATGTACCAATAAAAGAATTTAAGAAAAATAAATAAATAAAAAAAAATAAAAGTGATGAAGTCACTCAACAGAAAGACAAATGCTGGATGATTCCATTTACATAAGGTATCGAAAATAGTCAAGCTCTAAGAAGCAAAAAGTAGAATGGTGGTGTCAAGGGCCGAAGGAGGAGTAAATATTCATTGGCTATAGAGTTTCAGTAAAGGAAGACAAAAAAGGTCTAAAGATATGCAATCCAATGTGCACACACAGAGTACTGTACCATACACATACAAGTTTGTTATGAAGCTGGAGTTCATGTCATGTTTACCACAATTTTTTTAAAAAACTGGGTAGAGTCTCACATAGGCAGGCTGAGAAGTTTGTACTTTGTCATAGGCAATAAAAAGCTACTGAACATTTTTGCATGGTTGCTTGATACAGAAAAACTTACAGAGATTACTCTGGCAGGTCTATGATAGATGAGAGGAGGGGAGACGAAACATGAAGAGATGAACGAGAAGACAGTTGCAATCATTCAAGGCCAGAAAGGGATTCTGAAAAGAGGAAAACAGAAAATGAAGTATGCAGGAAGGACTTGCATATGGAAAAGCATAAGGACTTGGAAGTATCTGGTCACAGAGGGTAAGAGAAGGGATAAAGTTAAAATGCACCAGGAGGTTCAACCCTCAGTAGACAGGATGATACCATCACACATATTCAAATTTATAAATTCTACCATAACAATATTTTCTAAAGTGTGTTCTAGGGAATGTTGGTTCCTACAATGGATCCCACACAGAAAAAGGATTCTGTGACCACACACTATATGTCTTCTCTTGGTAATTAAATATACACATCAATACATTAAACAGTATTATGTCTTGCAGTAAATTGTTTAATCTGGCATGTCTTAAATTTTACTGACCAAAGGGTATGATTTTAAAGAAGCATCTCATGAAAGCCTTTTTATCCTGTCCTCATTTAAGACAAACAATATCCTAGACAACAAACTTGAAAAAGTGTTGTCAAACAGAACAATTTTCCCTACAAATTTCCCATTCTCAGGCTATAACTCTCACACCTCTTAATATCATAAATA